CCACACCATGAAGGTCCAGGTTTATGTTTAAATGAATTATTTTGTTAACAAATCAGCGAAACTAATATAAAAATGCTGCTGCTGTGGCGCTTGTTCACTACACCAATTACTATTTAGTACAGTGGACCAGTTAACACAGTAAAGTTACTTAAAGTGGGATGTTTTAATGTGCAAGTTGAAGATTGGAGTAATTCTACTTTAACTTTTACTTTAACATCTTTCGCTGTAGACTTATTTTTAATAATTAACATTAGTCCATAAATTACGTGAAGGGTTTTTTAAAATTGTGTGTCTTTAAACTTTGCATCAAGCTCTTTTGCTAGATGCAAAGTAAATACCGCATGTACTGAAATTACTTCGAAATTCTTCGTTTGATCGATTTAAACTTAACAAACGGTTTAAGGTAAGAGGTTTCAAAAACTGCGTCGAATGCCACCAACCGCGTAAAAATCGGTTCATTTATTCAAAAGTTATTGCGGCGTGAAAATTTAAAAAATAGTGTTTGATCAAACTTCTTTATGCTTTTATTAAAAGAATAATTTTTATCTCTTTGAGCTCGTAGAACTCAAATTAAAACATAGAATTCGCACTTTTGAGCTCGAAGAGCTCAAAAACCAAATAAGTGAAATGTTGAGCGTTTAGGTATGGAGTTAGCGGGAAATTGCAGAGATGGCCTTTAGGGTCAACCGTTTTCCTGTTTTTCTTTTCAATCAAAAAGAAAAAAAATTGCGTGATATTTGCCGAGACCCCCCTCTCTCCAACGTAAGATTAAATGAGATTTGACTCGACCCCCCCCCCCTAAACACCACACGTAATTTATGGACGCCCCCTTATTGGCCTTGGTCAAAATATCTGCCAACTGCAATTCACGCGATACATTCATAATTTGAAGTTCTGCACTTACTTCACGTACAAAGAAAGTCGGGATTTTGGGAAAGTTTTAATAAGTAAGCTCATTATCCGTAAAATGGGCAAATCTCGAACAGTCGTTAGCCACAGATTCCCTGAGCGCTTTACTAGCATAATTTCCGTTTTTGTGGTGGAAATTTCCACACAAGTCTTTGTCTAAGCCGATATAACTCCTTATTTATGCATATTATACACTAGACGTGGATCGTGCAGTCCAGATTTTGGAACTGGACGACTGTAATATTCTAATATTCCTTTTTTTAAATTTCTTTTCTAACAAATGCTCAGGTCCGGTTAACCTGTATTATTTGCCAGAGCACCAATTATAGGTCTACCAGAATCTGATGGCAATTTTTTTTTTTTAAATTAGCGATTTTCATATGGCAATAAAAGAAAAATTTCATCTGTCAACTGAAATTTCGAGGAATTGTTTTTGGTTTGGCTTCAAATTTCCTTTAAAAAGTGATGAAAATGTCGAAGAAACCTCTTCGATCGCAAGCAAGACATATTGTTTTCAATGTTTATCAAAGAATACTTGATCAACAAGATGCAGAACATACACAATCATCGATATTGAGCCATGTGCAAGCGTTGACTGGTTAGTAGGAATGACACGTCTTGATACTTTGGTTTATGGGATTCTTCGTGTGTATTATATTATGTACTTATACTAAATTTTGGTTTATTTCAGGGGTTTCTTATACCACAAATAAACTTGGATAGTTTTGATTTAGAATTGATCAGAAACAAGATAAATGAGTTTTACATTGTTTCTTTCTCTCAAATAGGGATCGATGAATAGCGAAAATCTTGTGAACATGTAATAAAAATTTAAAATAAGTTCATAGAACAAGATCGGTTAATTGAGATGCAGGAGGAAAGGTTTATTATAAATACTGCGTTGAAGACTTTTTTATGGATGTGCAGTATTTGGAACCATTTTAAAGTTCTTAATTAATTAATAAACTCATGAACAGAGTAATTGGAGTTTTCATCTAAATTTCAAACCCCACATTCGCCACATTTTCAAAAATTATCATTGGATAAATTTTTATATATTTTGCATATATCACACACAGAATCAGCCGCTATAAGGAAAAAAAAAGTATCAAAACGTTTTACTCCAATTTCCCCAGTATTGCTAGCGTCTATTTCTTTTTCCCTTTTTGCCATCAGATCCTGGTAGACCAATTACTTGCCTGTAATTATGAAGAATAAAACTATCGCTTTACAACATTACCTATGTGAAACTTCTTTGATAATGAACGTGAAAAGAGGTTTACCTACACTCTTCCATCACGAAGCGTAGTAACCTTTTTGGAGTTTACTCCTTAATGGGGCGTTCCCACGGAGCGTTAATCACGACAGTCAACTACGCTAGTCAACTGTCGTTCGTGACACTCACGAAAGTGTGAATTGATGAAACGTTCACATGGTTGGGGGATTTCGTGCCGTTCACGCTTCGTGTTTCGACTTAGTCATTATCGAAACATCGATCATGAATGATCTGGTTGTTGAAAGTTGTGCTGTTTTAAGTTCGGTTTTTGCTACTATCATAGCAAAAAAGATTGAGCGCTTACAGGACACAAGAAAACGAAAAAAAAGACGTTCATTCATGACTTATTCTCTTAGCTGCGGCGGCACGTAAATCTCTATCACGGTATTCCTCCAAACTTGGATCATATAACACCTTTTCCATAGAATATAACTCCAAAAAACGCGTAGTTTCACTGTCGTTAAACTTAATTCCACGTTGTTGTGACGACATCTTGGCTTCACGAACGGTATATCACGACTGAAAATCAAACACGTTTGATCTATCCACGCTTGTGTCGTGCGCCGTTCCTCACGAAAGCAAGTTTAACGCCTATGCGTTCACACAGAAGTGTATTTCACGAAAGCGTGGTTGACTGTCGTGATTAACGCCTCGTCAGCCACGTTACAACATTGTCAGTGTTGACAGGTGTAAAAAATAAAAGTAGATTGTCTAGCGTGCCGTGTCTAGAGTTTTGTCAATAGTAATGGTCAGTGAAATTAAAACTAAAAAGATTGTTCATTCTTATTCTTTTCTTACTCCTACTTCTTCTTATTCTTCTTTCTGTGACCAAAGTTACCTTTATAAACTTTGGTCACAGAAAGAAAATCCTATTTGGGCATAGATGATGTAGGTACGTTTTATTACTACTACAAACATTTATATTATAAAAACATATATTCTTACCACCTTTAGTATGAAAATATGGTCGACAGCCATAGAACATTATCTCCATCTTTGTTCTGCAGTGCATTTGACACAAGCCGAAACTATAAGCCTGGGAAACACCACAGATTATAAAGTATGGAAGTCGTTCGTGCCGTTTTGTATAGAAATCAAGATTTATTTTAAATAACTTACTTTATGTAATACGCTTTATTGAAGTAATATAAATAATCCGATTAATTACAGATATATGTTTGTTTCTCTTATCATTTTAGCAGATGCGTTCATTTACCCTTTTTTTCTATTCGATATATATCATAATTATCGTTCGTAAGGAGTAAACTCCAATCGTGCGTCGTAGCTGACACACACACACTTTTTTAATATATATATGGACCTCCCTCGGGTAATCCAGCCATCTTTAGGTAGGTAAAATAATAGATTAAAATAATCAAAAATATACTTTATTCTATAAAGCTTAAGTATGATATGTCTTAAAATTACGTAAATATAATTGTTTAGGAACAAAAACGCAATATGTATGTAAAAAGGCAAAATAATTTTAAAAACCTAATGTATAAAAATAATCTATAATAATATACAAATGGCATTTTTAATAGACAAGATATTCACTAGATTCGAAAGATTTGTCGATACAATAATTTTGACATATCGATACGACGTTTCATACAATTTCTATAGAAACGTGTATTGTTTTTGAGTTATACATACATAAGTGTGACTCCAGACTTAGTAGTGTCTGTAAATCACTTCAGCATACAATGACATTGTTACAACTATGACTTCTATTCTATATATAGAAGATCTGTTGGCGTTGCGTAGAGATGTGGGGTCACTCTGCATCTTCTAGCGCATTTACCATGGAGTGTTCAGAGGAGTTGTTCGGCTGCAGCTGACTTTCAGCACTGAAGTATTTCCGAACCAATTCGACTTAGGGTTCTTCAAGAAAAGAGCGTACCAATTCTTAAAAGGCCGACAACGCACTCGCGAGCCCTCTGGCATTGAGAGTGTCCATGGGCGGCGGTATCACTTAACATCAGGTGAGCCTCCTGCCCGTTTGCCCCCTGTTCTATGTGTTAATGAAGTCATAGTTGTAACAATGTCATGGTACCTTGTCTTTTTCTAGCATTTTGTTATGCATGCTGATTATCTGTACGACTTTTTGCCTAAGAATAATAAATAGTTTTATTTCTAAAACATTGTGAAATATATTTACTTACGGACGGAATTACCACCCGTTATATTTAACGAACTTAAAACTATTTATTTTTTAAACAATCATTATGTAAAAAAATTAATTACGTAACTACAGGTACTAAATTTATTTTAAAAAAAAAGGGAAAAATATTTTTAACGATTTTTTAGTTATAAAATGCGTTTATAAATGCACGTAGAACTTTTAACAATGATATTTCTTTAATAAAAAAAAATCCTACCTTTCTGTACAATTCCAACTATAGCAAAATTTATCATTTACATACATTTATAATCTTTACAAATTTCCCTATATAATTATAATTAAAAAATAGATTACTATATTTTTTATCCACTATGTTTAATAACTTTTGCCCACTAACTATATTTAAAAAATATTTGAAATAAAGTTACGAAACTATTTAAAAACTTATAAAAAAATTGCATTATAGTAAATAAACAGCATATTTTAAATTTATATTTAAAACATTTTTTTAAATATTTAACGTACGTGAAAGAAATCGCCACAAACATTTGACAACCATAATAATTTTTTTAACCATAAATATTTAACTAGTTTTTTTTTATTAATAAGTGAACTCAACGCCTCAGTAGAAAGACAAATAATTTAATGCCTACTTAGAAATCCACATCAAAAAATAATCAATCATAAAAATTAATAATCTTCAACCGGTCCGGTGACCGGTTTAGCCACGTTGTCCCATTTCCCCATCATCTCGTAATCCACGTGGTCTATACTCCATTGCTGAGTAGTGGCGTCCCCGCACGGCATTATATATAGGGCTCGTGTGTTCGGATCCCAGTCGAGACAATTGTCATTTGTGCCGTGCTTCAAGCGTTTTGTCTCCTGGAATGATAAATATTAGTAATAACAAATATATACAAATTAAATAGGTAAAAATGTCCAAGAATGTGTGTAAATAAAATAATAATATACAGTTCATGCAACACAATTAAAATAAATATTGATTTTAAAAATCTATAAAGTATAAAATCAAGAACGTTTTGAATGAATTTCCGTTTTGTAAAAAAAATCGGTTGTCTGTAAAGTCGGTTTACTGACGATAGTTGAACGTGACAACGTCATAAGAAAATACTGATGGAATGGTTGCATTCTTCAAAAAAAAAATTTTAATTTTATTTGTTTGAAAAAAATATCTATTATTTTGTATGGATATAGGGAAGGAGGTAAATGGAAATCACGATTAAATTGATCGATTACAATATAATCGATATAATACGATATATACTTTATATACAATAAAGATGTCGAACTCTGCCGAACGCGGAGGCCGATTGTGCCTCTTTGTCGCTCGTTCCGCGCTCCCGCTTGCACTTCAAGCCTTAATTGGAACGCCTCAGAGCGAGGTAACGCTGCATGAGTCATGTTTTTTCGTGCGTGCAGCCGGCTCCATCGAATTATAAGACGTTGTCACGTCAAAAATCTAATATTTTTCTTAATCATTCAATTCAGTACATTATATAATAACAAATATATAAAGCCTTTAATCAGATAGAAAATAATAACATAATTTTAAACTTAAGCTTAACACTAGTGAGTCGGTGACACCGACAACCCATCTGTTTGCCCAACTTTGGCAAAGGCCTCCTCCATTTCTCTCCACTCTGCTCTGTTCTGAGCTTTCCTGGTCCAAATTTTCCCAGTTACGGATTTTATTTCGTCTTCCCATCTTCGAAACTGTCTACCTCGTTTTCTTTTATTATTTCTTGGGTACCAATATATGATCTTTTTGTTCCACTTTTCTATACCTCTTATTACGTGACCAGCCCATTTCCATTTCAATCTTCGTATCCTCGTTGTGACGTCTTCAATCTTCGTGTGGTTTCGTATGATTTTATTATTGATTCTGTCGGACTTCCTGATATTTAGCATGCTTCTTTCCATCGCCGTCTGGCATGTCTTCAATTGCCTGGTTTGCATTTTAGTGAGTGCCCAAGTTTGGCAGCCGTATGTTAATACCGGAAGTATGCAAGTGTTATACAGCTTTGATTTGACATTTATTTTTATTTCTGTGTTTTTCATGATTTCGCTAAGCCCCCAGTAACATTTCCACGCTTTCCCAATTCTTGTATCAATTTCCTTCGACATTATACCAGTGGTTGAGATCTGTTGGCCCAGGTATGTGTACTCTTTCACATAATCAATTGACTCTCCATTTACTATAATAATATCTTCTGATGCATTCGTCATGGCTTTAGTTTTTGAGGTGTTCATTGTTAGCCCTACCTTGCGGCTTTTCCTCTCCAGGTCTGTAATCATAATTCTTAGATGCTCTTTGTTTGTAGCAAATAGTATGATGTCATCGGCGAATCGTAGGTGTGTTAGTTGTTCCCCGTTTATGTTTAGTCCGTACCCATCCCATTTTAATTCTCTGAAGATGTCTTCTAGTACAGCTGTGAATAATTTAGGTGATAGGGGGTCTCCTTGACGTACACCTCTATTTATTTTGATTTCTTTTCCTACTTTTTCTAGTTTTATTCTAGCGGTACTATTCGTGTATATATTTTTTAATATTCTGATGTACTTTGGGTCGACTCCTTGATTTTTGAGGCAGTGCCAGATATTTCCGTGCTCTATTGAGTCGAATGCCTTGTTGTAGTCTATGAAGCAACAATAGAACGGCACATTGAATTCTTTGGTTTTCTCAAATATTTGTCTTACCGTAAGTATATGGTCTAATGTTGAATATCCCGCCCTGAAACCAGCCTGCTCTATAGGTTGATTTTCGTCCAGATTTCTGGTTATTCGCCGCAAAATTACTTTCACAAAGACTTTATAGATGTTTGACATTAAGCTTATCGGCCTATAATTGTTCATGTCACTCCTGTCACCTTTTTTGTGGAGGAGGATGATCGTTGATGTGGTCCACTGTAACGGAATTTGTTCAGTGCTCAGTATATCGTTAAAGATGTATTTTAGTAGTGGTGATATCTCTTTTTTGCAGACTTGAAGCATATCATTATTAATCCCGTCAGGGCCGGAAGCTTTATCCTTCTTCTGGGATTCAATTGCTTTGTTTATTTCTGCTTCTATTATATGAGGAACATTATCGTTGCTAGTTAAGTCTATATTGTAAGTATGATATTTGCTGGAGTAAAGGTTCTCATAGAATTTTGTGGCTATTGATAAAATATCCGATCTGATAGTCCTTGTCTTGCAAAATTGGTCTTTCATATTAGGTATCCACTTTGTATTGTCAGAGCTTAAGAGCCTTTTTTATGCCACCCGTCTTGATGATATGTTTTTCAAAAGTGTCACGTCTAAGACGTTCTCTGTCTGTTCTCATTTGGCTCTTAATTTCTTTGCTAGTTTTTCCTATTTGTTCTCTGATAGATTTTGTTTTGTAAGTCATTTTAATTAATTTTGATCTTTTTTCTATGAGGTCTTTTGCTTTAGCTGATATGTGGCCATTGTCCTGTGATTTGGTTTTAGACGTGGTTTTCGATCTTGCTGTTAGTATCTCGTGTATTATGTTGTATTTCTCTTGAGTTTTTAGGTGCTCGAGCGATGATACCTGCACGGACTTGAGGTTTTCTTTTATGTTGGCAATACTAGTGTTGCTGCACATTGTGGATGTTTTAATTTTGAAGGGTCGACATAACTTCAAACTAAATGATGCGTTTAAACACGCTCTAAGCATTCTATGGTTACTGTTGAAGTTAAGGGTAGAGATGGTGCCACAGTCGTCGATTGATTTGGGTCTGTTCGTTAAAAAGTAGTCTATTTCATTTTTGTATCGACCATCTGGTGATATCCATGTCCATCTTCTGGAAGCTCTTTTTTTGAATACACTATTCATTATTTTCATATTATTTTCAAATGCCATTTCCATCATCTTTTGCCCGTTTCGTGTTCGTTTTCCAGTACTGTAAGGACCTAGTACGACATCTTCACCGTTTCTTGGGGTTCCAACACGTGCATTGAAATCGCCCATTATAATGCAGTTTTTGTGTGTGTGTTCTTTTAGGGCGGTGTTAAGGGATGAGTAGAAAAGGTCGATCTCTGAACTCGTTGATTGCTCAGTTGGTGAATATATTTGCACTATAGACCATGTTTCTCTGCCTGGAGGGATTCTAACATTCAATATAGCGATCCTTTCTGATATGCCGATTATTTCCACTATAGAGTTTTTGAGTTCTTTCTTGATCAGGAAACCTACTCCATGTCTTCCTGGAGTTTCACCTTTTAAAATATAATATAATATGACTTCATCGTATTCCTGAATTGATTCGCCAATCCTTCTTACTTCGCTCAGGCCTATAATGTCCCACTTAATATTTTTGATAGAATATAGAAGTTCTTTAAGGCTTTCTTCAGACTTTAGGGATAATGTGTTGAATGTGGCTATATATATTTGTTTGGTATAAAATTGTTTCTCAGTTGCACAAGTATTCGTTTTAGGTGTGGGAGTGGGAGTAGTATTTGGAGGGTAATGGTCGCTTTCCCCACGGTGACCAACCGTCTTGGGGTGATTGCTTTCAATGTTTCTTTGGCTAAGTGTGTTTCTATTGTTGGGTTGGGTTTCCTGTTGTTGTCGGCGTCTGTTGAGCGTTTTTTGATGTTGATGGTGAAGGTAGTGACAGTGATCTACCACGTGCTACGTAGTCTAGCATGCAAGTTTTATTAATCTTCTTTGGGCCCGCAGTACGTGTGTAAGTTGGGGATTTGCTTGGGGAGTTAGTGGAGTCTCTTTTTCTCTTATCTCTTTTGTCCTCTTTCGGTTCTTTCACAACTATTTTATCCTTGAAAAAGTAACAAATTTTTCCCATTGCTCGTTCCTCCTTTAGTTGAGGCAGAAGTTGTTTCCTCTTTTCCAAGGTTTCCTTGCTAAGGTCCTCCTTAATATAGATATCAGAATCTAATTTCTTTTTGTTCCTAAGTACTTCGTTTCTTCTCCAGTTTGTTGTAAACATTACAAGGATAGGACGCGGTTTGTTGCCTTTTTTTTCTCCTAGTCGATAAGCTTTATTTATTTCATTCGAGTTAAGATGAAGATTCATGTTTTCTTCAAGTACTTTTTTATGACTTCGATTGGAGACTCCATGCGCTGTTCCTCTTTTATACCAAAGAAGATTATGTTGTTTCCCTTCCTGTATTCTTCCATCGACTTAATTTTGTCTTGTAAGATTTTTACTTCAGTCTTCAGGCTTTTGTTTTCTTCCACAAGAGCAGACAATTTTTCGTTAATATTCTCTGACACGTTTCTAGTGACAGCTTCGGTTATTGCCTTTGTTTGCGCAGCCATCTCCTCCTTCATTCTGTGCCAAAAAAAATCCATCTCCTTTTCCATTATTGAGTTGGAATACTAGATAAGGGTTGTCAACACCAGATTCCGGTTTCGGTGTCAGCCAGTAAACATATGTTATCGTTAACTCGTCCGAAAATAATTACCATTCGCTTCGAGCTCGGGAGCGGCGGCGGCGGTATAATTCCTTACAGAATTATTTTTCCCTTTATATACTATCTGTTAGAAATAAATAAGATATCTTCATATAAATTTATAAAACAAAAATTAAAAAATTAAAAAGAATTGTTCTTTCAATATCCCGTGTATAGGTTTGAACTTAGGCCGATTGAAATGTTCGATTCCGGAACACAGCTTAACTGCGAAGCCGAGTACTGTATGACGAGGAGGACGAATTACTTGAACAGTTTCTTTCTTGAGTGACGTTTACAAAGAGTGACGTACACACGTTTAACATCACAGATAAAAAGTCATAGTTTTTTCTTCTTTTTGTAGTAATATCAACAAAAATTGACTGATCCTTGTTATAAGTCACTCGCACTTGATTTGTACACGCACTTTTAATTGTTTTAGTCAAAACGAAAAGTCACCGAAATCGAAGTCAAGACAACACAATTTAAAAACGTGATATTTTTCTATTTTTTACACTAATAATAAGGCAGATACGTTTGCCTATGGTATATCTTCTCCTGGTTCGCTTCAATATTTACTTTTTATTGTGTATTCTCACTTATTTCTATTTTTAATTGGTTATTTTGCGAGGACTCGATATTCAACTTGCGCCTACCCGCAACAAGACGAAGAATTCAGTACATTATATAATAACAAATATATACCAAATCACTTTTTTCTAATGAAAACGACGAACAGCCTTCCAAACTTTAAAATCTTAATTTATTTTTTTAAGTGAACCTTCTTTAGACGCATGAGGGTAAGTTTTTTACGGATACGTCACAAAGATGTGCAGCGTTTTTGTAGAAGAAAAGGGAGAGAGCGATTGAAACCGATTGAGAGAGAGTGAGAAGGACGAATTACCTTATAGAAATTATATTCTTAAAATTTAAATTTCGTTAAGAGAATTTATTAAATATTAGTATTTTATATTTTATGCAAAATAATTTATTGAAATTTCAAATGACGAATTGTAAAAAAAATTAAATTTATAATTTGTATTAATTTTCGACACTTTTAATACTTTAATGATAATTAAATTCCGAACATATATTCCTCTTTTCCTCCCTCTAAGGTTTGGAAATCTAAAGTTTTACGTTTGTATAAATATGAACAAGAGTAAATTAAATTACTCTAAATTTTTAAGATGCGCGCGCACACCGTCACAAAAAACCGACACCCTCAATATCTGTTCAAACATCGGTAAAACAGTCGTTTTATAGCGTTTCGATTGGAAGTGACCATTACAATGGACAAGAAAAATGCAATTCGAAGAGGAAAAAGTCCCTCTAAAGTGCTCGAAGAAAATTATTACGCTAAAGAATTATAACTTCTAACGCGTATGCGTTAATAAATAGAAAAAATATTGGTACCGACCGGGTAATACCTCCAGAGCTGGTTGCCTCCTCCCAGGTGACAGGAGTACAGCAGTATCGGGCTTTTGGGAGCCGACTCGGGAAGGTCCCAGCACATATTTCTACTCTTCGATCTAGAAATTAATTAATTTATTAACATTAAAGATACATTATTAACAATAAGCAAAAACAGATTTTTTTAAATTATATTATGATTTTAAATTTCGTAGAATTCTGACAGCTGTCATTTTTTGACATGCCAGTGATCGCAAACCTTTTTGGCCGGGCACATTTTTCAATTTCAATACGAGTCTGAACATGTGAATCTATACATACATTTTATTGTTTAAGTTAATGTATCCATTTTATTAAGTGCGGTGCTCCACATTAAGTGGTTTTACGGCGAATGATAATTAAGTCCCTTTTCATGTCAAACAGTAAAAAACGCACAAGTAAAGATAACATTTTTTTTAAAGGTTTACTAAACCTGGAATTAGTAGGCAGTGATGCTAGCTAAAGAATAAAATAAAGTAATTAAAGTTTACTCGATATATTGTTCGTGATATTGAAATATTTGTTATTTTTGTAATAGGTCACTTGAGTAAATATTTAGATTAACTTTTTGTAGGTAAAACATAAAAAATACATAGCATATTTTTTATTGCCCTCAAATGAGTCAAATTTGTCCCTTTTTCGGTGAAGAACTTTTTTTAGTAGCAACACTTATGAAATGTCAGAATTCTACGGAATTTAAAATCAGAGTATAAGTAAGTAATATTGAGATTGTCTGAGCCAACTTAAATCAGTGTTATTGGTGAAACTAAATTATAACTACTTGTTCAAAGAAAATAGAAATGGCCTGGACACAAAGACTGGTGAAATGGCCGATATGATGAAGATAGCCTTGTGCCAGATGGACTGACGAAATTGCAATGACGGGGGTAAGATAGCTGGAGATAGCTAAAATAGAAAAGACTTGGGGGCTTTTACCCGTGGTGCATGTAAATACATTTTTGAAGTTATACTTCTTTAGGCGCGTTATGAAAAATTGATGAGAGTGAAATTTTACGATGCGCGCGCACCGCGACACAAAATTAACAGAATGAAGTTGCACACGGAAGATGCTACGGCATTGGACATCATTTTAAAACAACATTCGAATAATAATAGAATTTATGTGACACTTAATGTAAGAGAATAATAATAAATATTTATTTATTTAATTTTTCAAATGTAAACTGAACTTTATTGACTATAATGACTCCTTTTCCAGTCTTTGATTATTAAATTGTAATTAATTATTTGCATGCAATCAAAAACTATTTTTAATAATGCCAAAGAAGTATAACTTCTTACGCGCGTACATAAGTACACGCACCCTTTTTTTTACAAGTCTATAAATCATTTAATATACAATTATGAATCATTTTAATTGTTACATCTTATTATATAGCAAGCCTACTGGGTGCCTAGTGGGTGCGTTGCCGGCCTATGACAACAAACAATAATATTACTTATTTTTCAATAACTTATATTATGCTCTTAATAATAATTAATTAAATTTCATCCCCTCACCTGATGTCCTTATGCCAAGACAGCATGAACTTCTGTTCGCCCGCTGTGCTCTCCGTACACCTCTTTAGAAGCACTTTGTCCATCTGTGCGCCGTGATGTGCGTCTACGCATAGTTGCGGATTCGACACCGGTTTTATCTATAACCGATAAATATATTTCTAAAAATGGTATTAGGGAGCGTTCAAGTATTACGTAACGCAATTTTTGGAGATTATCAAAGTTCGATTAATTGATACTTTGAGGTCATAATCTAAAACGTATACATTCGCTTGACTGTGATTGGTTAAACTGAAAATATCGCTTATCTGTGATCGGAGATCAAATTGACCAATCACAAATGTGTCACTTAAAAGTCTGGCAACACACTCGCGAGCCTTCCAGCGGTAAGTATTCATGGGCGGTATCACTTAACATCAGGTGAATTTTTATCTCGTTCTTAAGAAAATTGACACGAATCGACCATTTTGTCTTATATTTTAACTTGATTTGCAGTGAGTACAATTGAACCGTTATAAAGCTCTAATTTTCAAAATCGATTTGTCAATTATAACCATAGATTAAACATTAAAAAACTCACTCTCCCTTCAGCAAAAGCGTTGGGTTCCACCGGCGGGTATTTCACTGTTAAATCGAACGCCACCTAAAACATTATTTACTTAATTACACAGCTGATGCATCAGATTTAATTTTCACACTTTCCTTTTGCCACAAAAATAATAATAATAACACCACATCAACAGCGTCTTTAAAAAACAATTGACAGGTCCAAAGAATATAAAAACAATTCACAGGTCCGAAGAATTAAAAAAACAATTTACAGGTCCAAAGAATTATAAAACAATTGACAGATACAAAGAATTTAAAAAACAATTGACAGGTCCAAAGAATTTAAGCAAACCAATTGACAGGTGCAAAGAATTTAAAAAAACAATTGACATATCCACAGAATTAAAAAAAAAACAATTGACAGGTCTGTGCATAAACACATCAAATTTAGATTATAAGTAGATTAAACTTTTAGAGGATTAATAAATACAAATCGTGCATCAGTAAGTCCTCACCTGGGTCATGAACCACCTGAAGGACCGGCAACGCAACCTCTCCCTCAGAGCCTTCTGTTCGGAGATGTCTCCCGTGTCGATGTTGCGATAGTTGGGTCGTCTCTTGTACAAGTACTGAGCGTACTCGTCCATCCAAACTTCGGCCACGCGACGGTAGTTCTAAAAAAGTTATTACATCATTTTTTCATGAATATATCTTTTCGCTTTTTATACTGTATAATTAAAAAGAAATCAAGACAGGGCCTTATTAAGTGTTATGATTGTTTGTTATAAGTGGCACTACAGCTCTTGTTTTGGCCTACAATTTATATCTTGACCATTTTTGACAACTAAGTACCCTAGAGTTTCTTCAATATCTGTCTATGGTTTCGGTTACCGATGTTTTTCATTTCGAAAGAAAAATCCTTACCTACGACCTTTAAGCCGGAATTACATTACGAAATTAGTGGCATGAAATTAATTTCGTGTCATTAGTTTTACCAACAGTTTCACGTGTAATTTAATATTTTCGTAATGCATGCATTAATTTCATAACTGCAACTGAGTTTCGTGCCCCGCGAGATTTTTTGGGGAAATTAGTTTGTAATTCCGGCTTTAGAGACATTCGCACACGAAAGTCACCAAGCTAACACTTCTACTTAAAGAAAATTACCAATGCATACACACAAAAGCAATTACGACAAATATTTTTATTTAAAAAAATCAAACTCCTGACACATTTACACACTAAAGCTAACTGGATACTCACCCGTCCCACAAAGTCTCCATGCCCCGGGTTGGGGAATGGGGCAAACTTGCGATAGATATGTCCCACGCGGGAACACGGCGCGTCTACCATACGACCACCGCATTGCCAGATCTGAAAAACAACATTTTACATTATTTACTATAAATAATGTACTTCTAGAGCGTTTATTAGGTACATCAAAGTAGGGGCGGGTTACAACCCTTAGTTTTCGCCTTACATTTCATTTCTTGGTCATTCTCCAAAGACAGCTAAATATTTGCCTGCATAATAACTTTTATTTATTTACACTTCGTTACATTTATAGAAAAACAAATAACATAATAAATAAAAATTATAAGGAATGCAATGGGCGGCCTTATCATTAACAGTCGATCTCTTCCAGCCAACCCTAGTAAGGAATACACCTTAAAAAAAAATATTATGGGTAAAGTACAAGTGCATAACCAAATCTTATAAAAAATATTTAAACTAATAAATTAAAGTGTTGATTAATAATTTTCCAATTTTATTTGATTTAATTGTTTGTAATATACATTATATTTATTAATAAACCTATTGTAATGTGATTATACAAAATAGTTGTATCCAAAACTAGAATTCGATTAATTCAAAAAAATCAATATAAATAAGTATTTAGTCCTATTCTCCAATTTCTCACCTTAAAACTGAGTTCATACTGCTCCCCTCCCCATATGTCTAATCCGGGATCGTAGCCCCCCAACTCCCAGAAGAACGATCGGGACATCGCGAATAAACCTCCCGCCATTACGGGACTCCTGGAATTGTGGACAACTCGTATTAGAAGACGGTTTCTTCAATGAGCTTATCATTGAAAAAAATGTACAAATACACACTAATTTAAAGTTTATACACTTTATAATGGTCCCTATCTCATTTTCTCCCACGTTAAATCTAATGAATTTATGTGTTATTATTTTAGTTTTTATCAAAAGTAAACATTAATGTTAAACTTAAAAAATTCAATAATAAACATGTGCATGTACTTATGTACACGCGTTAGAAGTTATTCTTTGGCGTAATAAAATCAAAATGGTTTAAAAAAATTATCTTTCGCCTTATTCTATGTTTGTAGAAAAAAACGACACTAACAATATATTGAAAATTTTATTATAACGCATTATCTAACTTCTTTATCGGGGTTGGAAGAAAATTTAGTGTAACATTTTTGCGTTACGCGTCACATTTTTCCGTTACGCGCCATGTTGCTTTTTGAAGTCAAACTTCTTTATCGGCGTTAAAATATGACATATAGTATGTTTTTGACTTGAAGTTTGACAACGGATTACATTTTCGACTTGAAATTTGCTAATCGCAATTTGCAGCAATTAATTTGTAAATTGTATGCTAGGCAGTGTATCAAAATTTACTGTGTTTAAAGAAATAGTTTCTAATAAGGTCATAAAGAAGTTTCACTTCTTACGTGTGTACATTCGTACACGCACGTCGCACACATTTTTCTTTTATTTTAAAATGTTGACTATGCTAACTTCAGGGTGTCGGTTATTGACTATAATGACTTCTTTTCCAGTCTTTGAAAATTAATTGTATTTAATTATTTGCATTCAATCAAAAACTATTTTTAATAATGCCAAAGAAGTATAACTTCTTACGCGCGTACGTAATTGTTACTCACTCAAATGGCTCCGGCATATTGTCGAGGTCCTTAGGCAACAAGGGCAATCTCTTGTAGTACAACTCCCAGTCGAAGGCCCCGCGCGCGCCTTCGTCTTGAGCACGATATTCGAATGTGTCGTAGGCGATCACGTCAATGTATGGACACACCACTGTGCGGTGATCTAGGGCTATTGGTTCTGCAATTATTCATTAAATTATCAGCAATTTTCTTAAGACAATTGTGCAGAATTTTTATTTAAATGTGTTGCATAATTATGTTTCTGGGTTTCCTTGTAGGTATGGGATAAGGGCCAGAACCAGTCTGTTGCACAGATCGCCTTCCAAGACGTTGCGCCTACTGAATGCTGTCTCCGACACTATCGACATACTTATATGTTCGCAGAGTGAATTCACAGTAGCGAAGTCAAAGTCAAAGTAAAATCGTTTATTTCAATTAGACCATCTAAAATGGCACTTTTGAACGTCAAAAAAAAAATATAAAGATGATTCTAGTTGCCCCTTCCAAAAGGTAGTTTCGTGTGGAGAAGAATGGGCAAGAAACTCCACACTTACTCTTTTAAAATAGGTTTACAATATTTTGTTACATTTGTTAAATAATTATATGTGAAGACAATGTACTCTTAGAATAAACTACTATACTAAAAAAGTTAGTATACATGTTCCTCACATATTTACAAATATCGAAACCTTAGAATATTAACATTAAAGAGTAATAAAAATATTAAAAAAACACAACAAAACAGTGTGTGAGATACAAAAAAAAATAATTACATTTGTAGCATTATATAAATTAAAAAAAAAAAAATAACAAAAATTAACATATTTTTTTTTAGCAAAAAATCAGCAACCAATTTGATTTTGTCCAGGCTATTTTTAGAATAATGTGTATATTATGTGTTTAATATTATATATGTACCTACTTTATTATATTTTATTTAATCTTTCTCGACATTATCGTATTGGCATAATCTGTAAGGATAATGTTAAGGATAATTCTGTAATATATAAATAAATAATAATATTCAAAGTTTATAACATAACTTTCCGGAATAGGCTTCCGAAAATTTCCGGATTCTTTTTACTCATTATTTCCACTCTTTTAAAAATAGGTTGGATAATTTCTGCTAATCCCCAAATACGCACGCATCAGCTTATTAAGCTGCTTGTTTGTTTATATACATAATAATAATAATAATAACTGAGTGGCTTTTACACAACTGCCAGTATTTTAAGATTCAGGAGTATGCATCAAAGTATTTGCAAAGGGTTGGCAACGTACTATCGAGTACGTGAGTGTCCATAGGCGGCAGTAAAAAATAACCAAGTTTATTCTTCCCAACATAAATAAATGTGATCAAAATCCTTCTAAACCCTTTCCACCCAACACAATTATTTAAATATTTAATTACATCCACCAAAGAATTAAAAAACAAATCTAGAAATGACGAATCCACGGATCGTGTTAGATTCAGAGTAGAACATTCGAGAAAAAGTGCAGCAAAAGCGAATACATACACAGACCTAACAGTGGAGGTAACCAGTTGGCATTTGCTTCTGTATGCGAGTCCAGGAATAACAAGACGTCAGCCGAAGCCGCCTTGGCTCCCGCAAGTCGAGCTGTGATCAACCCACTCCGACTGGCCAGCCTTATCACTCGCACTTTGGGTAAGTTGGCTGATAAATAGTCGTCTAGCTTCTTTTTTAAGAAATCTGAAAACATTTGCGTTTCACTGTAAGTGTCTATGGTATATTTTTGGGCCTAGTGGCTTCAGCAGGCGCCAGAAGTCGAATTATGCCTGTACATTAATGACTTCTTGGATATTTGACACTCTTTCTTGATAAAGGAAAACATCGTGAGGAAACATGCCTTAGGGCTTAGACCATCGTTTCTCAAGTTGGTGAAGTTTGTTTTAAAAGGGAGTCGCAGTCTGTTGAATAATAAATACATACTACATATAGGTAAAAACAACTCGTTAAGAATAGCGCGCTATGTACATATTATTATTTTACAGTGACGGGGACGCAAAACTTTTTTTTATTCTGTCGCGACATATAAATGGTTGAAAAACGATGCCTTAGACCAATAAATGTCTTATGTCAGGCACAGTGGGCTGATCGCAAGTAGGCCAAGAAAATATGACTAAACAGATTATATATAGAGAAACTATTACTACTAAAGATTGTAGTGGCGCTTTTATTTTAATTTATTTCTTTGTGCACGATGGGTAAATTAAACAGCATGAAGAAATTGTCATATAATATACAATTACGAAAAATTACAATTAAATTATTATACAAAGTAGATGCAGAAATACTGGAAATTCCTAATAAATTAATGTTTTAAGAGAGGAAGTTCCTGATATTGCAGCATATAACTTTTTCTTTATACCTCAAAGAGCTCTTGATATCATAATAATCTAAAAATATTTTGGAATTTGGATGTGGTTTTGTGGTCCTACCATTATAATACTCTGGATCAAGTTATGGGCAAAAAAATTTAATTACCAAAATAAATTTTATAATAAAAAAATCATTGAGCATTCTTTTAATCTAAATGAAACAATTTTATATATTATAAAATAATAAGCAGTATATGATTACAAGTTTATTTAAATTTGAAAGGAAACATGTGAATTGTATGTTATAGGTCTGTTATCGAAAGCTGGCGCGTTCACAGTACTCACACTAATGCAATTTCACTATACAGTCTGTTTAAAAATATGACTTTTTTGCCAAGCTATATATTTTAGTCTACTCTGGTTTTAGTAAGGTTGGGTGGGTTGTAAATAAATAAAAATGTGTCAATTACATATAAATATTATGTGCATACGAGGGTGGATCCAAAAGTTCTAAGCCCGACCAAGAACGTAAAAGAGTAGTTTGTGTAAATCATTTTTAATTTTTCGACATAAGCTCCATCTAGCTCAACACACTTCACTATTACTTCACTAACAATTCTTTCAATACTCCTCTTAGAAACACCAGTGACCAGTCGCATCTGATGTTAAATTAAAAATTAAATTTTTTCATTAAACTGCTTTTATTAAGATGCTTAAAATAATTAAAAACATTGTGCACCATTCCACGAGATTGTCCTGGTAATGTTTAGACGGAATATATTTCATAAGACATTTTTTTCAAAGTATTCTAACCTCCAACCAAATAAGTAAACAAACAGAAAAAATAATAATGAGAAAAAAGATCAACATGTAATGTAAAGATGAACATAAACAGTAGCAAAAGCAAAATAATAACTGTCTCATTTATACTCATAAGCTTGACCGAGCGCGAGAGAGCGAATCTCGCGCTTATTCACAAACACTACACAAGCACAAAGTGTAAATGTGTTGAAGCCGCCAGCTTTAGATAACATACCAATACTAGTGCCCTTGATAAAATAATTACACAGTTGGTGGATATGAATTATTGATAAATAAATATTTTAAACTAACAATTATGGTATTTCCATACTATTATTTTCTTTCTCATGAAGTCTTGAGGTTTAATGTTAATATTCTTACGTATATTTAATTATCATTGTAGCTTATTGCATATGGGTATATGCTTCAAATCAGGGAAAAACACTAATAATTGCAAAAAAATTAATATAAGGCCTCACGCAATGTTGCCGCATGAGTAATGGGTATACATTATAATAAATATAAGAGCCAGTAATATAAGTTCAAATTACCTTTTGTACTAGCATCATCCACCAAAATTACTTCTTTTATTAAGAACTCGGGTGACCTATTAAGAACACTAACAGCTGTACGAAGTAATGTACTCCAATGCTCATTATGAAATGGTACCACCACACTAACTGTAGGCAACGATTCAATATATAACCGTTTCTGACATTTAATATGCCGTATGTCAGGTAAAGATCGGTTAAGAGGTATTTTATCACTGAGTGCACCATTAAATCCATTTACTGAATATAATTGCTTTTCAAGTGCTTCCTCATTTTTAGATAAATATGCAGGAATGCCCTGCTCTCCAATCCCTATAAGAATTAAAACATAGTTATTCAAGATGTCATATTTAACAATTTAAATCAAATGAATACACACCCTTTTGTTTCCTCTCATATTTTATCTTCTTATAATCATGCCAGTCAATTTTCTGTAAGGAATTTCATTTGCAGTTTTTTAATCAAAAACACATCCAAACATAGAAAAAAGATAAAAGAACAAAATATATTTGGAAAATATTAATCTAGGAGAACAAGATTAATTCCTAAACATTTTCTATCACATCATATTCCAGTAAAAATGTGTTTTATTCATCTGCCAAATCAAATATGGTATTGGGTCATATAAAGGAGATAGAGGATAATTGTATATAAATGAGCAACTCATGTTTAATTCCTAGCTTTAACATTTCAATCCTCTTGAAAGTGAAAGGAAATCTAGGTATCAAATTACAAGTACAATAACTTACTCTCAAACTAGAAGGTATGAAATATTCCTTTACCACAGTGCCAAGCAATGATTGTTTAAATGGTTCTAAAGATTTAACATCACTGAAGGATTTTACAAGGTATATAGTTCCAATTATTATAGTTATTATAATTAAGTTGCGGACTCGAAACAGTCTTAGAATGTGTCGTCTCATCATGTGAATGTGTAGTCCTGTAATAAAAAAAGATTTAACTAACAAATCACTAGTGCTAGTCATTTATTAGATAGATAAATAATAATCAATTACAAATTACAACAATTATCAGCAGAACTTTTATCTCAGTAAGGCAGATAAGATATTAAAAAAATAAGTTTTTATAATGGAAATACTAAGATTATTAAAGCAAATCTGTTTTTACAAAATAAAAGGGAAAAATTTACAAGCTAGCCGCCGGATTTTTGGGGTTTTGGGGGTGGGGGAGAGAGGGGGGTCTACTGCTACCCCCTGTACCATCCCCAACATGCGGAACCCCATGGTTATGGAGATATTCATGGTTAAAGTTTTGAGGTTAGAATAGCGCTATTTAGTTATTTACAATGGTCTGTGGGAGGGGTCTAGCTCTGTGACATCTCCGGCGCTGCAGGAGTCAACTCCCTCCGCCCCAGCGTAAAAAAAAATATTAATACACAATTAACAACAGGCATTTTATTCCAGCCTGCGCAACCTTGGCGTTTTGGTCGCCTTCGGCGACCAAATATTCATATACTAACCTAACCTAACCGATCTAAATAATATTTGTTTTTTTGGACAGCTCCGACCTAAATAATAATTGTTTATTCAAGCCTCGGCTTCTCGGCGTCCTGGTCGCCTTCGGCGACTAAATATTCATATACTAACCTAACCTAACCAATCTAAATAATATTTGTTTTTGTGGACAGCTCCGGTCTAAATAGTAATTGTTTATTCAAGCCTCGGCAACTCGGCGTCTTGGTCGCCTTCGGCGACCAAATATTCATATACTAACCTGACCTAACCGATCTAAATAATAATTGGTTTTTTGGACAGCTCCGGCGCTACGGGAAATGCAGCCCCTCCACCCTTGCGTACCAAAGCACAGGCATTTTGCAAGCCGTAGCGGCTAAGGCTGGTCGCCGAAGGCGACCAAAAAGCCGAAGCTGCGGAGGCTCTTCCTCCGCGCCTCCGATTTTTTATATACACTCTAGGGGTAGGGCAGAAAAGACCACGTGGATAGTGGGGTGCTCTGATTCGGTTTTGGGTATGATCGACTACAAGTTATGATCTTGGACAATCTATGAAATTGGTGATATTATGAAGATACATAAATAAAACCAGAGGTTAAGGTTCCAGAAACAAGTAAAAGTCGTTAAAAAATATCAAAACTCGGGATTACAAAACTCGCGTACGCAGGATAGCAACGGAATGGCGCATCAAACGCATAACAAGACGCTCGCTATATGACGTTTCGTGAAATGTGACGTTTCGTTTCGTTTCAAATAAATATTACTAAAAATTCGTAATTATAAATAAATACTATAAACAACATAACATTATATAACATTAAAAATATTGTATTTTGATAAAATACGAATTGATTTTACAACAATATTTCGCTACAATAAATATGTTATACAAAAAATCACGTTCCTTTATACGCACTTTAAAATGCATTTTAAAAAAAAACTAAGCGTCTCCGCGGGGTAAGGGGGGTGTCATTTAAAAGGGTAAACCAACCCCAACATAATCCAATATTAATCATCCCCAAATTCTTGCGGCTAGCTTGTAAGTCCGACCCCGCCCATGGTATAATGTGTAAATTTAAAACTAGTATAATTTTAACGTAAACGAAACAATTAAAAACAGGAGCACTTATATGGAAACAATTTAAATATTACTGTCCAAAACCCGTTTACCGGCTTCGCCACCAACACTGCAGTATACGAAACTAGTTCAAGAAATGCAATTTATAAGCTACTTTAATAATGAGATTATTTTTTTGTAAGATATGATTAAAAATAAAGTAGAAGCAGTAATAATATATACGTAATATGAATTACTAGTTTGCAAATAAACCAAACAAATCTTTTTATTTTTTAGTAGAAGTACCTCCCATCTGAGGCGGGAGACATGAGCTTTGTGACCACTCGGCACTCACCACAGACTACAGATTAAGTAGATGTCACCATCTAGGGATCGCCCCTTGAGCTTTTCTCATTTTATCTCACTATCAGGAACTGAAAAATCAAACGAAACAAAAAAAATATTATCTACAAAAACTGTAGATCTTAAATTTTATATACAATATAACATAAAATGTTATCACAAGCAAAAACAACAAGAATATAACTAGATTTCATATATTTGTACTACATGTAACAGTGTAATTATTACATTAATATATATCTACATAGGTTTATTATATTATAGTTATACTATTACTTTTTTATTTTTGGAATATGTGTTCAAAAAACTTCAAAAAGCAGGTTTTTATATTTGACAGCAATGTTTTTTATATCTATGGAACTGTAACGTGACCATCATTGGCACACAGCACTGTTTGACAAAAAGCTACTGACAAATGATTACTTTTGATTGGTCAAAATCGAGGGGAATTCCGTCGTTGCGGGTATAAGTGTTTACACGTGTTTCGGATATCATTATTTAGTATTTTCTATTTTTTCTCGTAGTTTAATGAATATAAGTCGACTTATGCTATTGGTGGTGGTTAATTAATAACATCAACTAATTACGTAAGTTATTTTTATTTATTTGTTATATTTCTCCCTTTACCTTGTTATATTTTTGGTAGTCTATAATGGAGAAACGCCCTCCAGACCCCCCCTGATCCTACGGATAGGGTCTCTTCTCCGGTGGAATCAATGGATTTATCCACCCCACTGTTTCCCCAACCTGGTGTCAAGCGCAGACTCGATACTGTCAATTAATCTTTAGTGGAACCTTCCAAAAAACCAATGACTGATGTCCGGTCATCTGCTGATGACGTCAACCCGGGATTTTACTCCCATCCATCTCTCACTGGCTTTCCCAAGTCATACCTTGTCAATGACAAGGGCCCTTTTTTAGTCCATGTTTCTTGCCCTGAATCTGACCCATCCGCCGGTACATCAATCCGCCCAATTAAATTTGGTCACTTCTTGGTAAAAAATAAAGTAAGTAACATTGTTCGTGATGGTGTTAAAAGAGTGGGACGTAACAGAATATCTGTTGAGTTTAAGTCGGGCTTAGATGCTAATAATTTTGTGTCTAATCCCATTGTACCTTCCAGCAATTATTCTGTTACGATTCCGAATTACAATGTTTCCCGTATGGGTCTTGTGAGAGGTGTCCCAGCTGATTGGTCAATGCAAGAATTTGTCGAAACTTTGGAAATTCCTGAAGGTATTGGTATAGTCCTCAAGGCCAGACGCCTTAACCGCAAGACAAACTCCGATGGTCAAATTAATTGGATTCCAACGCAAACTGTTGTTTTAACCTTTCAGGGGCAAACCCTTCCGGAGAGAATATTCTCATGTCATAGTTCCCTCCGCGTTGAAACGTACCAACTCCCAACAATCCAATGTCTCAACTGTTGTAGATTTGGTCACGTAAAGTCACAATGCCGATCTAAGCCTAGGTGTTTTCGTTGTACTCTAGCCCATTCTGGTGATGTTTGTAATATCCCTGAAACAGAGTCACTATGTTTATTTTGTACTGCCTCACACTATGCGACCAACAAAGCTTGTCCTGAACATAATCGACAAAAAAATATAAAGAATTGTGTCTCAGGAAAGCATTTCTTATCTCGAAGTATCGGCTCGGTTTAGACCTATCAGTGGCAAAACTTTTGCAGATTCTGTGAAAACAACCCCCTCCTCTTCATTCAGTTTATCCCAGCCCATTACTATACCAAACTTCCCGTCAGACTACATCATACAGGAAAACTGTATTTCTCCCTCCTCGCTCTAGGCCAACATCAGGAAAATCCTTTGATAAGGCGGCACATGAGGCCATTACTTCCAATTTACCCTCCTCTTTACCCAATGGTTGTGCCGTAAGCTCCCCTTCCCTTAACAACAATGAAGTCTCCCCAAATGAAAATCTTCTTGACTGCTTATGGGCAGTCATTTGTAACATGCTAACTAAGTATGATGACATCCCCATACCGTCCCACGTTGCCCAAAAAATTAATTAGCTCCACTCATTCGTCACCAAAAATGGCGAATCTGGTAATTCAGTGAAATTGTAACAGTATTCGCAGTAAAAAATCCTAATTAACCTTTCTTATCAATAAATTCGCTCCATCTATTCTAGCCATTTCGGAGACTTGGTTATTGCCGGGTTCCCGCTTTAGGGTTTCTGGGTATCGGTGTCTCCGAGATGACAGGGATGATGGCTATGCTGGCTGTGCCTTTTTGGTCAGCCGATCCCTCACCTTCCACTCATTATCTCTTCCTCATTGTGATGGTATTAATGCTGTTAATATGAGAGCTTTTAATATCTCGTTTATTTCTGTTTATATTCCCCACCCCCATTTCGACCTCATTTCTGATTCTATTATCCTTTCGGTTCCTCCTCCTGTTGTCATGTTGGGTGATTTCAATGCCCACCATGTTTCTCAGATTCTTTTTGGTCCCTTCTACTAGATTTACTCGATGATATAAACATAAGTGTCTTGAATAATGGTTGTCCTACGAGAAGGAGTCTTCCATCTCAGAATCCCGCTAGCGCAGTGGATTTATCACTTTGTTCTCCTGATCTTTTCCCTTTTCTATCCTGGCGTGTTTTTAAGAGCACTTGTGGGAGTGACCACATCCCCATTTAATTGATCTCCCAACCAATTTAAGGAGTGTTACTCACCCTTCCCCTCTTTTAAAATTTAAACTGAATAAGGCCAATTGGTCAGACTTTTCATCTTCTATTGACTCTAAGATAGCTGCGCTCCCCGCAGTTTCTGCTGAAAACTGCCTATCTTCATACAATGATTTTGTCAACTCCCTTACCTCATCTGCCAGTTTACATATTCCACTCAAATCTTCTACACAAAGGAAAATTTCTCCTCCTTGGTGGGATTCCGAATGTACTGAGATGATTCGAAAAAGAAAAGCGGCAGAAAGGTCATAGAGTCTTTGCATGACCTTGGAAAATTTTTTAATCTACCAACAAGCTTCTGCAGCTGCTCGCAGACTTCTTAATAATAAGAAACGTCTTGGTTGGCATAAGTTCTGTGAGAGCATGTGCCCTGGTACCCCTTCGTCTGTTGTTTGGAGGCAGATCAGAAGATTCCGTTGTTCCCTCAATTCTTATGATGTCCCTTTTAATGATCCGTCTAACTGGATTACCTCCTTTGCCGACAAATTGGCTCCTCCATCAATCCCTTTTTATGATTGTCTTCCTTATAAGTATAATTCTTACATCCCCTCTTCAAACAGTCTAGATTGTTAATTCTCCTTGGAAGAACTTAACAAAGCATTAAATGGTCTCTCTGAATCTTCCCCTGGAGAAGATGGAATCCCCTACTCATTCCTCATAAATTCTTCATTAGGTACTAAGAGGGACTTTCTAGATTTAGTGAACTGTTTTTTCGATCTTGGAATTATTCCTGAATCGTGGAACAGACAAATCGTCATTCCGCAAAGACCTGGCAAAGATCCATCAGATTTCTCTTCATACAGACCTATTGCTTTGTCTTCTACCCTTTTAAAAATTATGGAACATTTGATTAAAATTCGTTTAGAATGGTTTTGTGAAAGTAACAATATCCTTGCAAAATCCCAGTTTGGTTTCAGGAAAGGCTTGAGTACGATGGATAGCCTAAGTATAATAACGACCGACATTCGCATTGCTTTTAAAAAGAAACAGTTCCTGGTGAGTGTTTTCATGGATATCGCATCTGCGTATGACCACGTGCTGGTTCCGGTGCTCAGGCAAAAAATGCTTCAGCTGAGTATTCCTGAGAAGTTGGTACATTTTGTTTGCAATGCAGTTTCGAATTTTGAGGGGCTTACCTCAAGGTTCTGTTTTGAGTCCTCTTCTGTACAACATTTACACCTATGACCTGGAGCTTGTTGTGAATTCCTTCTGTCAGATCCTTCAATACGCGGACGATGTAGCCTTATACTTTTCATCAAATTCTATTGAAGAGGCATCACGCCTAAATTCGGCTTTGGATTACTTGGGTGATTGGTTAAATGATCATGGTCTCTCTATTTCTGTGTCCAAATGTTCGGCGATCACGTTAACTACAAAATACAGGGTTCCACAGTATTTTGTTGTAAGCATGTAAAATTTTTAGGCCTTATTTTAGACTCAAAGTTAAACGGTGTTCCTCATTTTAACCATGTGATTAAAAAAAGTGAGTAATGTTCTCCGTTCATTATCTGGTGTGAGGTGGGGAGCACACCCCTACTCGCAAAAGCTTTTATTCAATGCTGTGGTACGAAATCATTTTGGTTATGGCTCCTTCCTTTTAGATCCTGGCAACAAGCAAGCCCTTGATAAAATTTCCAAAATTCAATCGAAATCTTTACGCATCATCCTTGGTGCTATGAAATCCTCTCCCATCAATGCTCTCCAAATAGAATGTGTAGGGGGGGTCACCCCCCCCTTTATTTACGTAGACAATTTTTAAGTGACCGCTACTTCATCAAAGTCCTTCAATACTCTTCACATTCCATCTTGTCCAAATTACGTCGCTTATCTAATTTCAAGATGCCATCTAGTACAGGTAATGTTCCATGCATATTACACAGTTTTAATAAACTTTCTCGTCTTCCTAATCCTGTTGAAAGTTTCCCTAGTAATCCCTTGTTTTTAAATAGTTATGAATCCCTCATTTTTGATCCTAAAATAATTTTAAACTTTGGAATTGAAAAAAAATCCACCCAAGCTTCCATTTGTTTTCTGGAAAAAATTTCAAAAGACTGGCAGGGTTGGTTACCGATGTATACTGATGCTTCCAAGATTCCCAGTAATGAATGCATCGGTGCGGCTGTATGGGTCCCTTCATACAAAACAGTATTGAGCTATAAACTTCCTCCATTGACCTCCGTTTTTTCAGGTGAAGCTTTTGCAATCCTAGAAGCGGTTTTATATGCTGAGTCCCATAACCTGAATAAAGTTGCAATTTTTTCCAATCCATTCAGGTCTAAAAAAAACATAATACGATTCTAAAAATAAGAGAAGCTTTGTTTAGGTGTAGTAAAAAAGATATTCATATTGTACTTTTGTGGATACCTAGTCATTGTGGTATAGCGGTTAATGAAACTGCTGACTCTTGTGCAAAAGGTGCTATTTTCTGCGGATCTTGTCAGCATCCTAACATCTCGGCCTACGACCTATCAGCTCTTGCGTATTCCCACCTTTTAAAATCCTGGACTATTGATTGGCAATCTTCTAAAGCAAAAACTGGCAGGCACTATGCTAATATTCAGTATTCAATCCCTTCTTCGCCGTGGTTTTTTAAATATAAGTTTTTAAACAAAAAGGTCACGTCTATAATCTGCCGTCTTCGTATAGGGCACGCTTGTACTCCCGTTCATCTAGCCAAAATTAAAATTAAAGACAGTTCTCTCTGTGAGTGTGGTATGGACGAGGGCTCGACAGACCATATATTTTTTAACTGTTCTTTAATTAATAATTTAAAAAAACTCGTTATTTGACCATCTTTCTCCAGATTTCCCTCGTCCATGTAACCTTAACTCCCTACTTTCCCTCCCATCCAGCCCGATCGTCAAAATTTTAGGGAAATTTATTTCTATTGATAAATTAAAGTTATAAATAAGATTCTCCCCTACATAAGTAGTAAAATGTTAACCTCTTGTATATATTATTAGATGTCTGCGTGTGTTGTCTTTATTGTGACGACATTTTTGTTTTGGGTAACTCTGCTTAGATTAAATTCAATCTATCAAAATTATCAAATCTATCCTCACCGTGTGAAGACTTAGAACGTGACATTGGCGGAATTGTGATTTACACAGATGTCACCATTATAAATAAAGTGAAGTGAAGTGAAATATAGCTGTCAGTTGACAAACTTCACTGAAGTGATGCTTGACAGTTACGTATTACATTTATAGTTTTCACTTGCAGTTTCTCTGTCATACAGAGAAGCCGCAACACCGGGTTTCAACTTTTATGTTAAAAACGTGTTTTCGGAAGAAAAAATTTATAACCCTCGTACTATAAAATATCGTGATAAATTTTAGCCAACGTAATTCTGAAAAGTTTTCATACACTCCGTACCTGCAAAGTTACACATCCTGCCATTTTCAACACCACGTGTACCTGTTTTTGGTGACATCTATTAGAACTAGTATATTTGCATAGAAGTAATATCCCCTTTAGTAATTCTTTAACTCAGTGCTCAATTAAGTTCACGTGGAAATGGCACATGCTGAGGGCGACCTTCGAGATGGTTTATCTGCACGGGAAATCTTCGCGAATAGTGAAGGACTTACCTATAATGATTTCCTTCTGCTTCCGGGATACATAGACTTTACCGCTGAAGAAGTTGACCTGACCTCACCACTAACGAAGAAAATTAACCTGAAAGCGCCTTTAGTATCTACTCCCATGGACACAGTTACTGAAGCAGACATGGCCATTGCTATGGCTCTCTGTGGAGGCATTGGTATTATTCATCACAACTGCACTGCTGATTATCAAGCTAATGAGGTTCACAAAGTAAAAAAATACAAACATGGCTTTATCAGAGATCCTGTCTGCATGGGCCCTGAAAATACTGTAGCAGATGTGCTAGAAGCTAAGAAAAAAAACGGGTTTACTGGATATCCAATCACAGAAAATGGAAAATTAGGAGGTAAATTGATTGGAATAGTAACTTCTCGTGATATTGATTTCAGGGAGGGTGATCCCCAACTAAGTTTAAAAGAAGTAATGACCCCTATTAGTGAAATGATCACTGCTCAATCTGGTGTTACTCTCCAAGATGCCAATTATATTCTTGAAAAGAGTAAGAAAGGAAAACTGCCAATTATAAATGGTGCCGGGGAACTTGTGGCTTTGATTGCCCGCACTGACTTGAAAAAGGCTCGTAGTTATCCTAATGCATCTAAAGATTCCAACAAGCAGTTGTTAGTTGGGGCTGCAATTGGTACTCGTGAGGCAGACAGAGAGCGCCTCAAACTTCTGGTTAATAACGGTGTTGATGTTATTGTACTAGACTCCTCTCAAGGCAACTCAATTTATCAGATTGACATGATTAAGTTTATTAAGAAAACTTACCCTGATATACAAGTAATTGCAGGCAATGTAGTAACTAGAATGCAGGCTAAGAATCTCATTGAAGCAGGCGCAGATGCTTTAAGGGTTGGTATGGGCAGTGGATCAATTTGCATCACCCAGGAGGTAATGGCATGTGGTTGCCCTCAAGCCACAGCTGTGTACCAAGTATCATCATATGCCCGGCAGTTTAATGTGCCAGTCATTGCAGATGGAGGCATTCAGTCTGTTGGCCACATTGTTAAGTCTCTGGCGTTGGGAGCTTCGACTGTGATGATGGGATCCCTTCTTGCAGGAACATCAGAAGCCCCAGGAGAATACTTTTTCTCTGATGGTGTGAGACTGAAGAAGTACAGAGGTATGGGAAGCCTGGAAGCTATGGAGAACAAAGATGGCAAGGGCTCTGCTATGAGCAGATACTTCCATAAAGAATCAGACAAGCACAGGGTAGCTCAAGGGGTTAGTGGAAGCATTGTAGACAAAGGATCAGTTTTGAGATTCCTGCCATACCTGCAAACTGGTATGCAGCATAGCTGCCAAGATCTAGGAGCCAAGTCAGTTAGTAAAATAAGAGACATGAGCTACTCGGGAGATTTGAGATTTATGAAAAGAACTTATTCAGCTCAGTTAGAAGGTAATGTTCATGGTTTATTTTCCTATGAGAAAAGGTTGTTTTAAAGATCTTTAATTATTTGCTTAAAACATTTCTTAAGATTGTGATATCAACATATTATGTGTGTTTGAGAAGTATATTCTTTATGAAATAAGCAAAATATTAAGAGCATTATTGTTGTTTTCTAGTATTTGTATATTGAGAAGCTAATGAGTTAACATGTATATTTTTTGGTAAACAGATGTATTTCAAATTGTCACTTTTATAACTATCACAATGTTATATGAATTGTAAAATAACTTTCATAAATAAAGAGAGAACTTTAATTTTGTTTTAATATCAACCCAAACAACATTAAAAGCAAAACATTGATTTTTCAGTGATCCATTAACTGCAGTTATTTCAATGAATGTTAATAAAACTCAAATTTAATTGTATCTTAGTCATAATATATAGCTATTGTCAAATTTGCCACTTCTCGAATAATTATTGTGTAGGAAGGAAACCTAAAAATAAACCAACAGCTAAAAGGGAATCTGGAAGATCATTGACCTACTTTCACAAGGTGGAATGTCCCCTAATTGGCTTCATTTAATGTGAGTATTGGCATTAGTTAGGTTTCAAGACATTGAGGTCGCTTCGGTTATCTTTGTAAAACATGTGAATTAAATATCGATAACGCCCGCAAGTGCGGCAGAAAACAAGCATGTGATTGCTTAATAATTTGCCCTAAAACAAAATATTGTTATATCTAGACACCCAGTACGTCGTTATATTGCCGTAAATCCTTTTTTTTGAAATCATTATTATTCATAATTGCGCTTCTAGCGTTCGCGTCAGGGGGTCACATAGTTCTAAAGATCTTCACCTAAAACCATAATATATCTCTCCATGTTCTTAAGTGTTTTTTTATTTATCACTTATAAAGTTTTTTATTAGTGATACATCGAGGTCATATGACCTATTGACACATCAAAATTAGTGGGAAATATAGTAAAATATAGAAAAAATAATAGTCCGAATAAATTGTATCAATCACAAGTCAAACCTAGATATAAGTAGTCGGTCGGGATATCAGCTACTTTTATAAAGTAAATTGACATTTATGGTTTCATTTGTTTCAATATTTTTTTATTTAATGGAATTAATATATTGCTTCTTTTCTTAAAATCACAATACAATCCTTTCCATTACGGAAATTTATTATAGCACGCAGATTTTATATAAATGTGTAAACTCGGCACATGGCCACAATTTCTAAGGTAAATAAGGTTGCGCTTTCAGTAGGATGCTGCGCGCTAATTTGTTAGTGGAACTAGGTAAAAATAAAACCAAATTGTATTCTAATATAATCACATTTTAATGGAATTATGCATAATTAAGCAGCAATCGCCCATGCATATGATATTACAATAAATATTGAGTGCTAAATAACTTAGAGTACAAAAATTATTAAATGTGCTACAAACTATGTTTTAAGACTGGTGCGTCCGCTTTTCTTACATTCCTAATAATAATTGCACACATCGATCAGTCCTTTAAAATGGCTTCGATTCTGCTATTTTAATCTACCAATTAAACTGTCAATAATTCAGACCGGCCTTCGTCATTTAACAGTGGAACAGTTCCATGGTTCAGTCCATTAAAATAGCAGGTTCCAAGCCTTGAGTACACATTCGAAGAATCGCAAAATACGATAATATTCACTGGAGCATTGAGAAATATAATCAGTCTGATCGAGCCTCGTAGAGAGTATACTTATCTACTTATATAAAAAACAATGTATAAAATAAATAAAACACAACGATCGTTAAATAGCTAATAGTATATCTTGCGATTATCAAGACAACCTAGCAATAATTTAAAAATATCAAAACAAAATTTCGAATCTACCAAATCTAGAGTTCTGCCTCTGTTAATAGGAATGAGACTTTAGGCAGTATTCGACATTAAAATAAAACTTTAAACACATTTCTGAAATACATACGAAATATATAAAAAACGGTATTTCTGCAAAACATGTCAAAGTATTATCGCAACAAACAATTCGAGCGTAAAACAGTTGAAAAAGTGTTCCTTGCTTCACTTCCACACGCACCAGTCGGAATGCACAAGTCAAGCGACCAAAGCGTATTAAAATGTTGCTAGATTATCCTAGGTATAAAAGTTGCACTTTCCCGCGTGTTTTGCCAAACTCAACGCTAACGAGCTACAGATTATATCAAAACTACAATCTAACGATAAAATTGGCTGCTTATTCTAAATTTAAAATGCTGAACTACTGAAACCGGTCTAAATATTCGATTATAGAAAATTATTGTTGTACGATTCTCAACGACCTATACGAAAGTAATGCTACGTCATAATAAGAATTCCTTTAATCTATGAAATAACTAGAACGGCGAAAAGAGACTTGATACGTGATAGTTTGGTGCCAATGCTTCCAGAGTGCTGTAATTACAGTAGATTTACTATAAATTTAAGCCCTAAAACACGTTAATTGTATTTAAACGTGTAGATGTTGTCCTCTAAATATCAGCAAAAACATTCTAGAATCAAATCAATAAAATTATGACAAATCTACTGTATATACTACAGCAGCTATTTTGTGATCTGGAAGCAGTGGTTAACACGCGAAAATGTGCGAAATGCGTAAGATGTTACTCCTCCGGCTTCTGTTCCTCTTCATCCTCCAGGGTCCTTTCGAAGTCGGGTCCGGGTGCCGCATCGTCTTCAAACACAATTTCCTCGGGATCGGGGGCACGTGGCAAGAACTCTTCGCCAGGGCAGATCTTCTTGAAGATTTGTTCAGCCTAAACAAAAAAGCGTGGAATATATAACCTGGGTATAACGATAAAAAATCGTATAATAAATGTTTTCTTAGTATAGATAGCAAAATTTACTTAAACGAAATTATTTTTAAACGAAATTAAATTACATTTAATGATTTTTGAACCTACGCTTATAAAAACCTATAATTTATGACATCAAGACCATTAAATCTAGCAAATTAATTGATTAATTATTAATTTCTTTTACAATCCCTCTTCCTTAAGAGACAAGATATTCATTCCTCCACGTGCCTCGAGCGATCACGAATTATCTGCGTAATTCGCCAATGTTTCGGGTTTTATCTAACTACGGTACAATTTATAAAGATGTAGACATGTTCCATCTTACCAAAAAGGGTGTGAGGTAATATTTTAGGAAGCAGGAAGACTTTGACTTTATTTAGCATTAGTAACATTTTTTTTAAATATAAAGTGGTAGTTTGCTTAATGTTTAATTTCAGTTTTTTTTTTAAATCTTTTAATTAATGTACTTAATTGACTTATGTATTCTGTTTCGTATATTTTGTTCAACAATGTAATTTGTTTTGGCTTTGTATATCGTCTAAGTTTGTTCTACGATTATATCTATAAATACAAATAATTAAACTAGTAGACGTCCAAGCGTTGCTGTAGCTAAGGTTTTTGTTATATTACATAGTAGTAAACTATTTAAGAGAAACGGTAGGAGAACACCAGTCATGGAGAACACCAGTCATGGAGACCACCATGATTTCTTGGTTTGGTTTGGTTATGCCATTAAACTGTATCTTATGTGAAACGTTGGTACTTTCATCACAGCGCCATCTGTTAGAATTGTGACTGTCAAATAATAAACAAATAATTTGCAATAAAATAATATTGTGGATATAAATTAAGATGTAAGCCTATCCTATCTCTTAAGTTAGATCAAACTGCGAACGGTGTGCAAATTTAATTGAAATCGGTTAAGTAGTTTAGGAGTCCATAGTGGAAAAACAACGTGACGCGTAATGTATAGAATAATAATATTTATAATGGCGACCATCTTGATTCAGTTTTCGAATGGGTAGAAACTGCAGCAAACAGGTTGCCACAGTGCAATAGACAAAAACGCGTCCTGAAATCGATACAACTTTCATATTAAGTAAGACGACCACGCGTGAACGATGCTCTAGATTCTAGAAAAAAAACTGTTAAGCTGTGTCGTAATATCCATGTACACATAAGTATATGGTAAGATTCTTTGCGATAATTTACAATACAGGTGGAATTTAAATATAAATTTAAACTTAACTTTCGTACTAACTGATCTGTCCTTTTTTATTGTACTTTTCGTGGTCTAAATGTTTTAATTTCTTTGTTTTATTCCATTCTTTATATATTTTTTTAAAATATTAATATTTTTTCCTCGCAGTGGTGGCCTGGAATCCGCCAGTTGCCCTCATTTTCATTTAATTATTTTAAATGTACTGTATTTCTTGCAACGAAGTGTAAATAAATAAATATTGCATAAGGATTATTGCCAGTTCTCATCCGTTCTACGCCCTTTGGGAACTGGCAGCAAATGGAAATTGAATCATTTAATAATTTTCTTATTGATGTTCATAAGTGTATATATTTATTATACCTATACGAATTAATTATATTTTGATTTGATTTTAATAAATGATAATATTTTAGACGAAATAGTAAATAGAGATGGAAGTACTCTAACAATCTACAAGAAACCAGTAGTTTTAATTTATACAAAAAAAAAACACGTAGAATTTGAAACTTTCCGGTATCTGCAGTTGGTGAAAAAGAAAGAAATCTTTAATGATTTTCGAAAAATATTTTGTTGTATTTCAATAAAACTTCATTAATGGTTGAAATATGTCACTCACTTGCGTAAATAATTTTGTTTAATTTATTTATTATATAATTTACCATTCTATAAAGATTTGATGTTTTATTTATCCCTTACCTATACTGAAAGTTCCCTTAAAAATAAAATCCCCTTTATTTTGAAAAGAAACACATTACTAGATTGCCTTTACAATTATTATACACTTAAAAGTAAATTAGTCAAAATATTTTTTTTCCAGCATTACGCAATGAAAATGTTTGATTATTTGTATACGATTATAAAAGAAACTACATGTATATGTCTACTAATATACAAGTCCATTATTTATTACAAAAACATATAGTAATGATAACATAAATTTAAAACCAGAAATGGTATAAATTAAAAAGTAGCTGTCCCGTCCTAAATATACAAAAGATTCACGACTTCGCACGCACATCAATTATTTATTAGAATTTGTTTTTAATTTTAGTAACAATCATTAATTTAAATACAAGTATTTATAATGTTATGTTTCTATTAAAGAAAGTTTGAAAATATATATTACCTAACTACGCAGAATTTATGTAATATTTTTCGTGTTTTCCGCATACTTATAATGGTAGGGGAGCCCACGATGCTAAATGGGGATTTACTCGAGCGTCGTAGAGACCTATTGGGATGCAAAGCTTAATAATAAGAAGAAAAAAATGTTATATGATATATACCTTTTCATCGGTGGGGGAAGCGGCTATAGATTGTTAAATATGTAAAAAAAAACTGTTGCATGGACATCCTCGAGCGCGTCAGATATTGACAGCACCAATGCCCTACGTATTTTTAATAATGTACGTATGTTAATCTGATCGTTTGCATGATGAGGGTGGTTGTATTTAAGGGTTGAAAATGAAAAAAAAAAAATTATCGAGCGCGTCAGATTTTCTAAGGGAGTGTTAAGTGCACCAAAAAAAAGCTCTCATTCACTAATCTGACGATTTCGATGGGACGCAAACCCACGGCCATTTTCATAATTTGCAAAAAAAATCGCAATTTTGAAATACTCAAGCGCGTCAGATTAAGATATATGTGGTTCATCTTTATGTTCTAAACGTACTGTCTTATAATCTGACGATTATCTAGAGGGATTCGCCTGATCTGATAAAAAAAAATTTAGAAAAACGGTTCACCTAAAGGGCCATCCCTGCAACTTCCCGCTAATTCCATTCCTGGGCGCTTAAAATTGATATTTTGAGCTCGCTGAGTTCAAAGAAATAACATTTCTATGCATTTGAGCTCTCCCAGGTCGAAAGTCTGATAGAAGTTTCATAGAACACTATTTTTGGAATTTTCAAACCGCAATAACTTTTGAATGGATCAAGCAATTTTCACGCGGTTGTCGGCATTCGACGCAGTTTTATCATCCTCATAAGTATTTTTGCAATTTTAATTGATCGAACCACAAATTTCGGAGTAATCCCGAATAAACACTTTTTCGGGTTTCTTTCGTTCACGATATCTCTCGAACGAATCAACCGCTTTTGACCAGCTTAGTGGCGATCAACGTGGTTTTTCAAGCTCAAAGGTGGATTAGTTTTTGAAGTTGATCGATAAAGAAACCACTTTAAAAAAAAAAATTTCTTATTTTTTTAAGATTTTTCAAAATTTCTCAAAATCTATCGGTCCGAATCGGTTCAAATTCACAGGAAATGTAATTTTGAGGGAAATATTTAGAACGCCGTTTAGTAGATTCCGATCGGTTTAAGGAAATGTAGGCATCACGCAGCTGCACGCATTTAACTTTATCGACGAATTTTTGTTATTTCGGCTTGCGGAAATCGTCAGATTATATATTTTTCATTATTCTTGAATTATTTCCTTCAAAATAAAAAAAAATTGCTACGCTCGAGAATGTCGAGATGACGTTTTTTTTACAACTTTGTTGCCCTCCCTTTTTTCCGTCAATCTCAAATTGTCAGATTAGTGGAATATACACTTTTTAGGATGTAATTAACTCACCCTACCTTAATCTGACTCGCTCGGGAATTTCTGATGGTCAATTTTTTTTTACTAATCTGATCCTGTCTCCTTCACGGGCGGCCTTATATATGGGCCTCATATTTTGTGGAGGTACTTAACCGGGTACAAGGTATCCCCCTATATATTAATCTGCCGCGCTTTAGTAAATCCCGAAATCCCCTCTTGGGCTCATCGTAGGGACCATAACAGGGGATATTTTTATTTACAAAATATTATACAAGAATAAGGTACACTGGAACGCCAAGTAACTGACGAAGTTTCCTCTTTTAAATAGTTAATTATTTAAATTCTGTGATCCCACTTTACTCATATTCATTTTTTAGATAACTTGTAACAGGTTTTAGAATAAAAACTCATTACAAATTCTAAATCTTATTCCTAACCTTGAAATTATCTCCATCATACGCAATTTACCGCCGACACTACTTTTAAAATATAGTATCTATAATTATAAGTGAATCTATTTCTACTATTATTATTCTCATACGCCCGAACCCAATAATCAATCCACAATCTCAGACCGTGACAGTCGACCGATCTCCTATCTGCATCCCAATAACCAAACCCAAACCATTTTTGGCGACGGATAAAATGCTCTTTGTGGTTCCATTTTACCGAGTTTTTACTCATATTTGATAATCAATTTAAACCAAATACAGTAAATAAAACCGGCCAAATAACATTAAAATATACATGTACGTGTATGTTTAAAACATAAACAGTTTTTTTTATTATTTAAAAAACTGGTGTAAGTTAAAAATCTGTTCAAATATTCTATTGGTTATTGGCACACTTGATACAACATTTGGATTAAAATTACTAACTTAGAGATTATGGATTGAGATAGGTTATTGGGTTCGGGAGATAGTCCACATATTACCAAGGTTGCTTAGAAATGATCGCTTAGTAATAGGAATGCTGCAATTCCTGACAAAACAGGAGGCAAACAGGCAGGAGGCTCACCTGATGTAAAGTGATACCGCCCATGGACACTCTGATGCCAGATGGCTAGCGAGTGCGTTGCCGGCCTTTTAAGAATTGTTAAAACTATAATTTTGACAGAAAAATACGAACGACTGTATTTCAACCGACTTGAGAAGAAATTCGTATAATTGCGAATGAGTTAATAATAGTAGAGTTAGGCGCTTAGGCTAAATTCTTGAACCCTGTCACACTACAATTACCAACGAATTTTCCCATATAATAATAATCCAGTGGCACTACAACCCTTTGTGTCTTAGCCGCCCGATCTCATCGGTTTCTTTGATAATTTTTTATTATATACACAAGTATGTCAGCCTTCTGTCTGATGAATGTCGTCAATTTTTTGTCGTGGATTTAGAGACATGCTGTTTCCGTATGTTAACTAAAACACACCCAGTATATTGGTGCACAGCCGGGGAAGGAATGGACTTGCAAACTAGGCTATCCACTAGGCCTATCTTTGTTCAATACGCGTGAATACAAAATATAATACTGGTCTAACTATAGTTTCATATTATTATGCAATAAAGCGAAATAAAGAAATCGTATTTTTAATATTATCTAATAAAACTTTTATCGGTTTTCTATTCAATATCAATGTTAAAGGTTAATATGTAACCAATGTTTTGAATTCTACTCCCTTTTAAAGATTAAAAACCTGATATAATATATAAAATTATTATGAAACATTAGGTAATCTTTTTATGGATAATTGTCATTTCAATAATTCAAAGTATACTCAGACTCATTAAAATGAAAGTGCTGTTTAATAAAAAGTGGAAAAAGTGTTTCTGTAGAAAAACTAGTCGATATTTGACTTTCTCGCTGATATAGTATCGGGTTCAAATACCAGTTGAGGCCAAATATAAATACGCACGTATTAAGAAACATTTCAAAGACCGGTGCACTCGGTGAAGCATGATACCTCGGTTGAACACATACAGGCTGTCGGACATCGTGTAGGGTTTTGATAGATATGAATAGAAATATTAAAAATTGTTAAGTCGAAATCCTCAGTAAGTTGAAAAAAATTCCATTCCCTTCAGCTGAACCCTTAAATACGTGGTATCTCTAATTATTTAGACTTTGTACTCGAAAAAAAATTATTTTCCAACGAAGAATTGATAATACATATTTATACTCTATAACTCGTATTTCAAAACGGAGACTCCATAAGTCGTAGTTAGTAAAATATAATGACGTCTAACTTGGAATTCCCCGAAATAATAGCAATAAAATTCAATATTAATGTTCGTGTTCGGGGCTTCTTATCTATAATTGTTAATATGTAAAAAACATATACTACAAAACTTAACTTGTATTGTTATTCAAATTCGACTCTACAAATCGAAAAATACACTAAGAGATCGCGTCTCTGTAAGTCGAAATTTCAGCACGTAAATCATATGTATCTCGAAAACTCGTTAAATCGATTTTTTTGCATTTCCCTTGACATTCGAGTTATAGAGATCCACTGTATAACGAAAAATAATACACGAACGGCAAGGAGCCCTTTTTCATTTTATTTTTTACGTAAAGTCAAAACAATGCTTTTAAATAACCATATTTCAGACTTGATATTAAATCAGATTTAATAACAAACAAGTATTAAGTATATAACATTTCGAAGCACGCTTGCAATCCTCTCTTAACACTCAATATTATTGCGTACACCGCAAAGGATTAGATTTCTTAAGACACCTATCCACCACAAAGCCCCAACCTGTCACGTATTCTAGTTTTAACGTTTTCTAGATACTAGTTTTATTCGTCGCAATCCTATCTAAAGGTTCACAAACGCTATAAGCTTTCTACACAAAATCTTAACTAATTTGTATTTTAAACTATCATTAATACTGTTATTATAAATGGCAACCCTTCATTGTTTTTGAGCCACTTACAAAACATCATCATCTTTTTAAGGACAATTTTTATCTGCACTTTGTGACGAAGTAGTTTTGCCGTTAAATATATAGGAAGTATAACATTACTACTATGTATGAAATTTCAATTCAGAGATTAAAGTTTACTGCACTGGAGTATTAAATATTATATCAAGCGGTATATATACTTTAGTGCAGTCAAATTTGCTATATACGCTGTGTTGTAATAACACTAAAATACTGTAAACTATGAAATCTCTTATAAGAAGATGCTTAGACAAAATGGACGTATAAAATATTCTCAATAAATATTTTTGTTAAATATATTGGCTTTCGAGTTACATAATAGGCAGAAAGACACTGCCAACCCAACAGAAATCTATATAGAATCATCATCATTGCGTCCAAAACTACGTCAAATTGGATATTTTTTGTGATCTTTTTTGTATTTGATACATAAGCCGAAAAATAACTGCATTTGCTAAAATCTCATAATTTGAAAAGTGTCTCGAAGACTGAAAGATATTATGAAAGCCTATATTCCAGATAACAACACGCTAGACCGAAATAACGCGGGTCAATCCTCTGCGGTTTGAAACTGGCACAGCCAGTAGAAATAAATAAAGTAAGATGACTGTAATGCGAACTAATTATTTATATTTTTTATTTATTTCTAGAAATACATAAACGGTTACGGGGCAAGAAATAAACCTTATATTTTGTAAATATACATTAGCGCCATATTTATTTATAAATTGTTATTAATGGTATTGTATTCCGTTTGAACATTGTTCAGATATAAGTTTCTTTAAATTTAAAAAATCCCGCATGCCATGTAGACCAGATATGTATGTATTATGTTTTGGGCAGGGCAAGACAGTCAAAATTACAATAGCTATAAAAATAAAATATCTATTAAACACCCTAAACAAGATCCAGTTAAGTTATTATTAGAAATGGTAGTAAAAAAATGGTTGTCAAAAAATATTTTTTTATAGCTATTTTTAACGATAGTTTAACGTGACAGCCATAACAAAACATTGATGAAATGGTTGCATACTTAAGTCTTCGAGCGGAAGAGAAATAGACGTGGAGAAAGCGTACAATGATCGTAACGGGACACTTAGCGTGACGGGACAATTAGCGTAACGGGACAATGTGTCATGATTTTTCGTGCGTGCCGGCGTTCATCGATTTACCAAACATTGTCACGTCAAAAAACCTTTTTTTTTACTCATCGCATTGTTCATTACTCAATATATGGGTACTGACAGCTGATCTTTAAACGGTTCTTAACAAAATTAACCCTTACCTGTTCAACAGCTCTATCAAAGTCAAGTCCGGAGTCAGGTCCGGAGCAAAGGTGTACGTTGTCAACCAGACTTGCGACGGGCGCGCTCGTGTCTCGCACGTTGTAGAATACCGACCACAGACACTAAAACAAATTATTTTATTGTATTCAATTATTTTTCTCATTATGTCTTAAAGTACAATAAGCGCTTTGTGGTAAAATGTTCTTTTGAGCAGTACAAAGCTGCAGTTGCTCGATTTACTTTACTATGTTTTCAAAGATATAGCAACTGTTTTTGTGATAGCCTGTTTGAAAATGATTTAAAATAAAAGTTTAGATATAGTAAACTTGGATTGAAAAAGAAATAAAAAACTTTCAGTTTGAATATCACATACTAATGTTTAGACTACAGTATTTGTTACCATTCCATTCTTTTTACATGAAAAGAAGATCGTTACCATGGCGTTTGTTACTTATTCTACCGAGAGATGGCGCTGCCGGGCCAATCGTGCGCGGTATCTTTGATGATATGAAATATAGTATTCTCAACCTGCTCTCACGATTACAGATTACACAATAGTAATTAGGTATATAACATAAGCAGCAGTAATGCCAACTCGGGAGTTCCCCATAGGTGGAAGAAGTCCAAGAAGTCCAAGGGTGTTTCAAGAAATTTATTTGTTTTTTGTTTTAATACACGATTATATACAATTAATATTACGCCTCTAACACAACCAATAAACTAAACCAAATCCAATCATGGATAAAACCTATAATACGCCAAAATCGAAATAACAACAATTTTAAATTACATACTTGAATATATTTTTAATGCATTTTTCAAATTTCCTTTCAATCCGAGGGTACAACCAAATCTTTAGAAATTTTTACTCGAAGTTGGTCCTAGGCATCACTGCCAACCAGTACATTACTACAATAAGATTTAAGAACATCGTTTACCTTAGGTTTCTCAGTGGTTTCGGTTTGGTCAGCATTCATATCAAAAATCCTTTGTGCGTAAGGCATCAGGTCATTCTCCGCGTCCGTCACCTTGCTGGTTATCATGTATACCACGACTGCAAATATACAAAAATATACATTTACATATTCCATATTGTCTTTAGTTGGGAAAGTATTGCTTTTAGTTGGATACCCGAATTTCGAAACTTATTTGCTTTAAAATGCAACGCAGAAATAGTCTGCACTATGTAAGGGGACTTATTAAGAATTTTAATGTGATATTTATTTATTTATTACAGATTTAATATACATTTCCACTTAAATATCAAATTCATTTTATTATTCTTTAGTTTAATATATTATAAACACGTTTACGAGTCTCTAGCTTAGCCAAAATCTTTTTTTCAATATTGACTAAAAAGTTGTTGGATGTACAATTTTAATCAATGGATTAGTATTAAGAATATGTCGATTTGTCTCTATTGAGCGAAAGACTGTTCTCGTTTCTATTCCACAAGTCTTAAGCTCCAATTAAATATTAATATAATGTGTGTAATGTGGCATGGTGACATTTAGTCGCGCCAAATACTCAAGCGGAAAACGTCAGTAAGAGACTTAGGAGTGCGAGAAGATGCCCAACTGAATTTCCTTGATCATGTGGACATTTGCAAGAATGGGATTTGTGCTTCGAAGGGCAACAACGTTCACTAATATTAAAGCCATCCCAAGCTTGTACAACGCTCTGGTTAGAGGTATGATTTATGTGTTTAATATTACTATATATGTATATGTACTTTATTATATTTTATTTAATTTTCTCGACATTATCGTATTGGCATAGTCTGTAAGGATAATGTATGTATTTTTGTAATAAATAAACATTCAGAAGGTTTTTTCCGTTACCACGTTATTACAAAAAATTCAAGTGAAAGCATATGTTCTGTTGGATAAACAAACTTAATTGCAATATTTTAAGTTAAGCAAAATACTTACACAATCCCTTAGGACAAGATCCGGTAGCAGGTCCGACTTCTAACACCGTAACAGCGTGATCACCGCCATCTAGCGACGGGAATCGTAACAACGTCAGGGGCTCCTTCTCACTCGGCATAATCGAAGCATTTGTGATGAACACAGCTTTAGAAATATCAGTACTCTCTGTCGGTTCCGGGGAGATCAGGTCTTTGGGACATTCGTTAATCCCTATGACGAGGTGGTCACAATTCAACGTCTTAGATTTGCTTTCAATGACAACTATAGACTTGCCCTCGTCGACCACTTTGTGTTCGACTTTGTCTATTGGGCGGTTTAGGCAGTATACGCCTCCGAATACTGCGCATAGTCTGTAAATAAAACCAATTATTTATTATACAGTCAAAACCCTTTACGACGACATCGTTTAGAACAGGGTTCTCCAAACTACGGCCCGAGCGCCACATCTAGCCCACGGACAGATTTTGTCCGGCCCGCGAAGAGCTAGCATATTTGAAAACTCCTTTTAGACAACATATTTTTTATAGCAAATTAAATTTAGTTTACTAAAGTATTCTAATTTTATGTTGAATAATTATTAATATGACATCTACATTGATATGGTCATGGGCTAACTGCTCATAACATTGTTGTAGGCTTATTGTTATTGTGATAAAAACATAACAAGCGTAATAACATATGGTTTTGGCCCTCGGAACTTACTGGAGTATCAGTATGGCCCTAAGGCTGGAAAGTTTGAAGACCCTTGGTTTAGAACAACATACCGGTTATATTGAACAAAATCAAAGGTCCCGGCTGAATTCTATTGTATAAGGTACTTAATAACAACGTCATCGGCTGTTACGACTATCGATTTTTACGACCAAATATGAGTAGTCCCCTCTGTCGTTATAACAAATTTTGACTGTATATATTTTTCTTTTGTGACATGTCAAATTTCTGGTTTAAACACGGTAAACAAGACATTTAGATAGAACAAATTTCGTTGGTCTCCACCATATTCTGCGTATCTTCTGGCCCAAGAAGATCTCACACGAGCAACTCTTGGGGCGCTACCGAGAATAGTCAATTAGCCCTCAGAACAAGCGACGCAATTGGAACAGGATAGGCTACAGCAGGCGCTTAGAAGATACAGGGTAAGCGGAATCGTGGCCGCCCCAAGCAAACCTGGTGACGTACAGTGGCAGATGAGGCAAAGAGAGCCGGAAGTACTAAGAGCGAGGTAAAATCCGAAGCTCAAGACCGATAAAGATGGAGGCTCAGTGGACGCCCTCTGCCCCATCCAGAGCTCATATAACATTTAACAAACAATTTGTATGACAATACTTGGCGATTAAAAAGAGTGGCGGAAAGTTTCTTGCCAGTTCTTCTTGCCCGCTCTACGCCCTTGACTTGCGAACTGGTAGTAAATGTAAATTTACAATAAATTTAACTTGACAATTCGTAAGTGTACTTGTTTACCTACACGAATAAAGATATTTTGAGTTTGAGTTTGAAAAAAAAACAGTGGCGCTACAACCTCTTTTTAGGTCTTGGTCTCAGATTTCTGAATCTGTTTCGTGATCATTTTGCAATTGAATAGCAAGCAGGTGACCAGCCTCCAGTGCCTGACACTCGCCGTCGACTTTTTGGGGCTAAGACATGTCGGTTTCCTCACGATGTTTTCCTTAACCGTTCGAGCGAATGTTAAATGCACACATAGAAAAAAATTCCATTGGTGCACAGCCGGGGATCGAACCTAAGACCTCAGGGATGAGAGTCGCACGCTGAAGCCACTAGGCCAACATTGCTCATAGAACATTCAGTCAGTTACCTAAACGCAACCTCGAACATTCATTGTTTCTGTATTTACTGTATTGTGTATGGAAAAGCGATATTTTGAAGCTGTCAAATTAAATTAACGTAATTTCATCTTTGGCAAGTATATTTAAATAAACTCCTTTAAAAGATAAAACGTTACAAATATTTGAAGAATTGTAACGATTATTGTCCTCAAAAAAGTTCGGTTAAGGATATGTTCATTCAAAATACTCTATTAGTTTAAACGCAATGCATAATTTCGCAAATATTTATACAATTTCAAATAAGAGAATACTGTATCAACTGGCGTAGAAAGATTAACCATGAAAGTATAAAATATAGGAAAGTATACGGCGACCCAGATGTGCACTGAATGGACACAAAAATATTTATCACTTTCTATCATTGCACGGAATAAAATAGGTATATATTTAAATGTTTCTTAAACAAATGTTACTTTCTAGATGTAACGTCTTTATTTAATCATACTTGTATTTATATTTAGCTAACTTTCATAAAACCTATGGTATGAACTAATATATAAACCACACCAAAACCTTTTTAACTTTAATAGGTATAGAAAAACAGGTCTGGGATACTTGATTTTATAAAATCAAAGGAAATATAAGAATAACATTTGATGTGATACACAGAGTTTTTGAAGTGAAACTTCTTTATCGGGGTTGGAAAAAAATTTAGTGTAACATTTTTGCGTTACGCGTCACATTTTTCCGTTACGCGCCATGTTGCTTTTTGAAGTCAAACTTCTTTATCGGCGTTAAAATTTGACATATAGTATGTTTTTGACTTTGAAGTTTGACAACGGATTACATTTTCGACTTGAAATTTGCTAATCGCAATTTGCAGCAATTAATTTGTAAATTGTATGCTAGGCAGTGTATCAAAATTTACTGTGTTTAAAGAAATAGTTTCTAATAAGATCATAAAGAAGTTTCACTTCTTACGTGTGTAACCTAGTACACGCACACATTTTTTTTATAATATAGGGGGGCAAAGGAACCCACGGTATGATCCATAAAAAGTCGGCGCGTTGGCCTTTCAGGGAGAAGAAAGTTCTCTTTTTAAATAACTGGAGGTCGTATCTTCTAGGCCACCGAGGGCCCAATTAAATTATTAAATACGAATGTTTTTTTTTTTCAATGTTCCAGTATCCATTAATTTATCAACCAATTAAATTATCAAGTCATATCATATTTTTATTTATGTTAACCATGATCATACATTACAAAATGACCAAACTTTTACGGATTATCCACTTCGCGTATTCATGCCCAACAAAAGTTCGTAATAAGCTTTCATTATATAGCAATAAGCTTTTATATGTTAATCACAACCTATTCATTTTTCTATTATTTTTGTTAGATAACAAAATAGGCTAAAAAAGGCATAGTATATTGTGATGAATTCTATATATTTCTTTTAATTATAGGGGACAAACGGGCAGGAGGCTCACCTGATGTTAAGTAATACCGGCGCCCATGGACACTCTCAATGCCAAGGATATTACATTACAGATATTACAGATTTACATAAGATTATATTGTGTTGTTACCCAGTTATGTATACAACTTTGTTTGTCTTGGGTTTGGTAGTATACAACAAGTTAGAGGTAAGGAGGTTTATAAATAATGCAATTCACAAGAATTGCATTATTTATAAAAAGGTTTAGGTTTTATATTTTTTTTGTTTTGTTTTTATATTATGTTTTTTATTGTATTAGTAATAATGAAATAAATAAAAACAATATATGTAAATTTTCGATATGTTTAAGTAGCGTTCAAGTATTACGTCACGCAATTTTGAGATATTAATGACCCCCCCTCCCATGTAACGCACCGTAACGTTTTTCTGTATTCCAATAGTAAAACGTTTCGTGACCACCCAGTGACTCTTTATACCTAAAAGTTACCATTATGTGGTGTATAAGACCGAATTTTAGCCAATTATTTAAAAATTACCTGCAGAAGCACTGAGGCAGTTCCCCGCTTCCATACATAGGCCAGAGGAAAGGTGTGTTGCCATAGCGACCGAGGCTCATTAAAAACTTCTTGGATTCCTTAACTCCGTCACGGCAATTCATCTTATCAGTGCCACCAGCGATCGCGAACAGCACATAGTGGATCAGGTTAGGTGTAAGTCCTTTGTGAGTGAGGTAATCTTTGAATGGTTTATCATTCCAATCTGTAAATTAAAATTAAATTCACTAAATAGGTCAAGTTTAGCCCCAAGGTATGATTTAAGAAACTTTTAAAAAATTGATTACTGCTGATTTGTCTCGCCTTCGAACAGAAGGAAGAGGACTTGACCCGCATAGAAATAAATTATTAAGAATAATATCTGCTGAATAACCCCTGTACTGTAGGACTTAAATACAAGTTAGTATAGAAAAAAATGGAACGACAAGTTTATGCATACTGTTAAAATACGACATAACCCGTACACGTTTTGCGCCATCATCGATACGACTTGTTGCAGCTTATGATGGGCAAAATTCAAGGCAACAGACGGAAGAAGTAGTGGTTGCGGAACGTAAGGGAGTGAACCAACATCACATCCGCCGAAGAGCTTTTTATACTAACACAAGATACCCGCCAATTCAAGTTGTAGTTGTTAGCAATAAAGTGGCACCAAAAGAAGATACGAAAAAAAAGTGTGTGTGTGTCAGCTACGACGCACGATTGGAGTTTACTCCTTACGAACGATAAAATGGCGATAATGTTCTGTGGCTGTCGACCATATTTTCATACTAAAGGTGGTAAGAATATATGTTTTTATAATATAAATGTTTGTAGTAGTAATAAAACGTACCTACATCATCTATGCCCAAATAGGATTTTCTTTCTGTGACCAAAGTTACCTTTATAGTAAGAGAAGAATAAGAATGAACAATCTTTTTAGTTTTAATTTCACTGACCATTACTATTGACAAAACTCTATGGCACGCTAGACAATCTACTTTTATTTTTTACACCTGTCAACACTGACAATGTTGTAACGTGGCTGTCAAAACGTGAATTCAAAATAGAAAAGTCTGTGTAATGTATTCCATCTCATTCTTTTACACGTTCAATCCATTTGTCTCTTTCTAAATAACGCCTCAACTTTTCGTGTTACACTTGATTTTACTCCTCATAAAATTTCCGTACCGGGCCTTATAACTCAAATCGTTTCTTAAGGAGATACGAAAAAAGCTTAATTTTTAAGTACCTTTAAACTCTTGTTCCATCTCCTCTTCAGTGTTACCAACGATGGCCGTCAGCATTTTCATGAGCTGCCGCTTCTCGAGAATGCTGACAGAGTCAGTGGCAAAGACATCAGCTCGAGAGCATGGCACCGGCATCAGGCGATCGTCCAACCACGTAAGAACGCGTGTAACACATCGAAATTCAGCATAGCGGGCGATGTTTGATGATATCAATAGTTCTACGAGAGGCCCTCGAGAAAATAACAGCTGGAAATTTCATTCAAATTTATTTATTTATATAGAATTGTAATCGCTTGATGTAACGCAAGAGGACTGGACATAGACAAACTTTTTAATACAGTCATGTCTAATAACATTTAATCAGCTACAAATCTAATGTTCTAATGGTACTGAAATAAAGTACTGAACTTGTCAACCTGACCAAAATAAATTCGATTTCTCATACAAATATGAAAAAATGTTACGGAGTTCGATACCGCTAATAAAAATATTAAAAACAAAAGACAGGCGATACTTAATATTTTGCAATCGGTGAATCACTGCAATTATAACACAATCAATAGTATAGCATATGAATAACGTACTAGCGGCTTTGCTCGGCTTCGCATGGCTGAAGATCATTAATATTTTAAAACTAAATATAACCTGTGTTACTCAGGAAAACCTTAGCATCCTAAAGATGAAAGAATTTTTAAAATCGGTCCAGTAGTTTATAATAAATAAGAAATAAATGATAGGTACGGAACGTGATTGCCGCGTATTTGACGTGTTGGATTATAAATTGTTTTGTTGTAAAAATATATTTTATTTTGTAACTTTGTAAGTGTAAGATTTTATTTAGGAATTTTTGCATGTTTAACTTTTAAATTATTTTTTTAAAGATTTGGGAAACGCCCTAATATAAGGTGTTACATCTTATATGGAAATAGGAAAACAATTTATTCATGTCAAGAAAATTTCCAGATAAAAAGGCTTGGTAGGATCGTCAATAAATCCTCCTAGCGCCAACCTTAATTCATTTAAATTAATGTTAAGATTTAGTTTAATTTTATTTCGGATATTATTGAGTTGTTGACTACTTGTTTTTGTTCTATGAAATATCCTTAACTCATTTGTTTTATTTTACATTACTAACCCTTTAATAAGTTTTTAAGTTCATTAATTATAAACATCTTTCTAAATTATACGATAAAAACGCTTTATAGAGGTCGTAAACTAATTAGAATTTTCGTATAATTAATCCTTTCTTTCATGTTATTGATCATTAAAAATCTCGTTAACATTGTTATAAAATTTATCAAAGAAATCAGTAAATATTTATAAATTTAATAGAGCTTGTTGTAGACGGTCTCTGAGGCGCCTAATTCAATTCTAACGGAGGCGTGAACATACGAAAATATCACGCATATTTCTCTAGCGAGACTTGAGATCCGCCCGGGTTCACATTTGAGACGCACTCATAAAAATGCTTGTATGCTGCATAACGAAAAGATTGAGTTAGGAGCGAGCTTTACGCGATCTTCTACTCCCGTATGTCAAAAACCAATAGGATATTGAGGTACGGGAGCTACACTTAACGGTGTCTCGTTTCTTTGTTCTTTTTGAAGTGAAACTTTTTTTGGCGCGTGAAGGTAACATTTTTACGGATAAAACGCAATAAGAATAATATTAGCGTCAGGAAGATGTGCAGCGCTTTTATCAAAGAAAAGGGAGAGAGAGAGAGTGAGAAGGGCGAACTATAGAAATTCTATTTTTAAATAAAAATTTCGCAACGAGAATTTGTGAAATATTAGTATTTTATATTTTATGCAAAATAATTTATAAAAATATCAAATGACGAATTGTAAATTAAAACGCCACTTGTTTTTATTATCGAAGAAATAAATTTTAAAGAAATGTATAATTTATATTAATTTTCGAGACTTAATATTTTAATGACAAAATTCATTAAATTTCTAACATATCTTCCTTTTTCCCTCCCTCTAAGTCTCGGAAATCTAAAGTTTTAGAATTGCATAAATATGAACAAGATTTTATAGAACAGGGCGCAAACGGGCAGAAGGCTCACCTGATGTTAAGTGATAGCGCCGCCCATGGACCCTAAGTTTCGGAATATCGTCGACGTACTATACTTACTGGTACTGCCGCTAATTCATAGACATTAACAATAATAGGAACTAAATATACATTGAAATCTCATGTTATGAAGACTACGAGCAGGAAATGTTCTGGACTCAATATTTTATATTAAACTAATACTATACACGTTTGTAAATTATGTGAAGGAAAATCCCATCTTTGATTATTTTTTGTCAAAGGCTTTTAGGCTCTGTTGTAAGCTAAGAATTTGAAATTTAGTAAATGTTTTATAGACAAAATACATAACGCAGACTGTGATTCCTGTATTTAAAAATCGAATACGTTTTGACACACTGCCGGAATACTTAGTGATACATTTTGAATGTTTGACATTAATAATGATAAGACTTCAAATTATTGCGTCTCAAATATTCACCATATTTTATTTAATACACACCTAACAATCGTTGTGTATCTAATTTCATGAAACAACGTTTAGATACGCTAATTATTATAGAGTATAACGAATTTATTGTTTTTAGAATTTTATACGAAAATCATATTATGTAAAAGAACAGGCAACTTATATACAAATTCTAAGCCATCGAAATCGTATTGTATGAAAAACACCTAATACCTTAATATTTAGCCATAATAAATAAATTACTGGCGCTAAACCTTTTTAGGCCTGAGCTTTCTGTATGTTTCATGATCATTTGTCACTCAATTAGGAGATCAGCCTCCTGTGCCAGACAAACGCCGTCGACTTTTTGGGTCTAAGGAAAGCCGGTTTCCTTTACTGATCGAGCGAATGTTAAATGTGCACATAGAAAGAAAGTCCATCGGTGCACAGCCGGGATTCGAACCTACGCCCTCAGAGATGAGAGTCGCACCCTGAAGCCCATAGGCCAACACTACTCTTGCCAAAATAAATAAACCTTAATCACGCATTGTATTTGGTTCTATATATGGTTCTATGGTCTGTTGAATAATATACAACTAACGAAAAAACTATGGCTCAAATCCTTTACATTTTATCCAAATACAAAGTAATGAACATAGTTTCAGATATTTAAGGATAAATTAACGTTATACTAACCACTTTGACAAAAGGTCAATGCCCTTTCATACTCAGCAATTTCAGTAAAAAACATCGTACAAGATTTTATACTTATTCGCGTAGAAATAAAGCTTCACGTTTTATTACATCACTTTTGGTATAAAGTTACTTTAATCAAAATATAATTTCTCCTAATGAAGCAGTACCATTGTTGTAAACCGTTTTATTTGGCATCAGTTGTGGAAGTCATTAAAATATTTGGAGCAGGAGGCGGTGGAGAGACCGTTATGTTTAATGGAAGTGGAAACTTTTTGCTTTTTATATATTATGCTCTACGCCAAACCAGTCTCAAGGTTAATGCAAAAATTCCAGCGTAACTTCTCTAATGTATCTTTGAACCAAGTCTTCCCTAAATAGTGAGCCAAGTTCCTAAATAGAAAAAACTACGGCTCTTGCTAACATAATATTTTAACAAAAGGTATTTGATACTTTAATGCGGTATCCATTTATATTTTATAAATAGCAATTTATAAACGTGACGACAGAGGAGAACATCATTTTTAAAACACAGAACTGAAAATGTACCGTAGGTACAGAAATTCATACCCACGCATCTGTTTCAGTAATATTGTCGCCAGAAAATAAAATGGGCAGAATTCGCGAAAAATCTGGCATAACGTGCCGACACCTAATATTTTTCTATAGAAAAAACTATACGCTATCCGAGCTAGCTAACCTATAGGTCAATACTTTATAGGAATATTCTATGAATAAAAGAATAGAATTTGTAAAATAAAAAATTTGGCTAAATCAACATAAACGATCTTTCAATAATCAGCCGAGTGTATTCGTGCGACGTGTACATAAAATTTTTACTGTAATCTTAAGCACACAAAAAGCGTGACCGACGATTGAATAATGCCGGAGTGAATCATCTATTCATCTCACTTAGCTAAAGTAGCTCTGTTTCAATTTAAGACATGTTGTCTTTAGCATTTTAACCCTTTCAACAATCACAGTACAATTCAAAAATAATTTTCAGGTATATAGGGAAAGAAGCTTTCTTATTAAACATCATGAATATTTAATAAAAACGAAAAACACAGAATATTCCACCCAAGCCACATTGACAATGACTTCAAAAACAATGAATTTAAATAAATCAGTGGCGCTACAACCTCTTTAGGTCTTGGCCTCAGATTTCTAAATCTGTTTCATGATTATTTTTAAATCTAGTAGGCAAGTAGGTGATCAGCCTTAAGTGCCAGACACACGCCGTCGACTTTTTGGGTCTAAGACATGTCGGTTTCCTCACAATGTTTTCCTTCACCATTCGAGAAAATGTTAAATGCGCACATAGAAAGAAAGTCCACTGTTGCACAGCAGGGGATTGAACCTACGACCAGGTATGAGTTGTACGCTGAAGCCACTGTTGCTAAATTATCTACAAAATAAAATTATATGACACTGGAACCATTTAGTATCAAACACTTCACTGCTTAAATAATTAAAAAGTTTCACTCATACATAATGAGCAAATTAAAATTAATGAACCAAATTTGCTGTCTAGTAGCTTTTCACTTTAGTGCTTGGTTAAACATACATTTTTTAATGGTTATGACTCCAAAGCTCCTGGATTAACTTTAAAAAAATATGTTAAAAGTTACTTGAGCCAAAACTTGAAACATCCTGTCTTCACTATATATAAGAGCTAGCAAGTTAAGGAATACATTTATTAAATCCTATTTTGATAAAGCCAGAAATGGAAGATCTTCCCAATATTCAATAGGATGATTGAAATTACATTCCATAAATTAGAATGGATATAAATAACTTTAAATTAAGTTATAAGATTATTAAGTTAAAAAAGGGTACCTTGGGTGTCATATCAATATTAAATTTCCTATATTCAGCAGCAAATTTTGTTTGACTCCATATTTTCTTTGCAGGGTCTGCATCAGTCTTGTTCTCTTCTGCTTCCTCTGACACGTCTCTAATTCACAAAAACATACTGTGTTAGACTGCTCTATCTTAATTTTATCAAACTACTATATTTTTAAACCTATATTGTACGGTAAAACTTTAGATTATATGAAAACTAAGCTAATAAATACAAAGTGTTAAAGAAGTGAGAGTGATTTCGACGCTTTAGAGGGTTTGTTGTTACATCAAGGGATGTTAAATAGAGTTCAGTCATCAGTGAGTTTTCTTAATTTCGTTAGTCTTGTTTTTAATATGTATTTCATACTGTTATTAATTATTTGAATACGTATTTACTTACTTTTCTATGTACCATTTCTCACTGAGATTATAAACTTGCTCTTGCCTCTTCGGATCCTCAGAAACTTCTTTAATAAACTTTTGTAGACCATCAAAATTGTAAGAAGCCCAGAGACCTCCATAATGATCACTTGAGTCTAAATGAAGGACATTTTTACCAATTCTACTGCATGCTGCTGCTACAATTGACTCCACCATACCTTTAGAAAAGTTAACTTATATTTTTTTATGAAACAGATGATGTATTAGTATAGGTAAATTTACTTACATTTACTGATATATTATACTATAATAAAACTAAAATGAATATCATAATCTATATTCTTGCTGCAAGGGGTCAACGACTGTACTAAATAACTGAAAAAATTACGGAATGAGTAATCTCCGATAACTAGGGCGTTTTTTGCATATGTTCTAATCATTTTGACGAATACTTTTTTTTATATTAAGGTAAGTCGTAAATCCCCAGTGGATATAAATCTCTCTCAAGTAAACTGTGAGTACTGAATAATAAGATGTAAGAACAAAAAAAATAGGATCGATACATAAGTAGGCTAGCTTTCGCCATTACAGCCGGCATGGTTTATTTCAAGAAAAAAGGCATACCTGTCCCAACGACGATGACTTGGAAATCGGTCGGTAAATCGTCGTCCATTATAATTCCTTGTTTAGCTCACCGTTATAATAAAAAAACAATATTTTATAAAATTCTAAAAATGTACGTCCTTTGCTCTACAAAGGCTTATAGTTTTCTTACACTGACATCTGACAATTGACATTTCTGTGCTGTCATAAGAGAAGATCAAAATGTACAGACTACAGGCAATAAGCAAAAGATTTAATGCTTTCTAAATTTTCATTGTTGCAGACAATATATTAACTATGTATGTTGTTTAACTATTTTTATTTTGTGGATCTACTGTCATCCGGGTTCATTAATCAAAAAATGCAACAGATCGGATATAGTAATAATTACGCATTGGTTGACCGATTTTTCTTATAAAAATCGTTTTTGACAATCATTATTTTCTTAAAAAATAACAGCGACGTCTCGTAACAAATGTCCTTAATATTTTCAAAATAGACCCCGAGGATGACAACGGGCAAAAAAACGAAACAATAATGAATTCAAAAAATATATTTACGAATGAAATTGATCTCAAAATACACTATACCGTGTATACTACATCTACTTATCGAATTTGTATATAAATGTGTTTTACATATATATAGATAGTTCCGTCTAGAAATATTCTTTCTGAAGATACCAAAAATAATTTTTTGCCCGATCATATGGTAAATCCGACATTGGATTGTTTATTTAAATAACCGTTTGATATTTCTGTTTTCCATGACTGTGTCCATGTCCGTTTTATTTTTTTTTTTATAAATATACGTCTCTTACATTTTCTGGCTTATAAATTCTCAACAAAAAAAGAGACATTTTATATTGGATGTGGCTTTGACATTTAATTGGTAGTCATCTCGATCGTTAACGTTGTTTTTAATATTAATTAGGTAGTAAGAACAGAAATAGTAATTTATAAAGCTGATACGATACATAAAATTCTTTCACGCTCATAAAAGAACCACAAGCCACAAAACAGCGGACGTGATCCGCGTCATTCCCTATTTGCTCTCGATGAAGAAAATTTATAGAGTCATATTTATCTTTATTATAGTTTAATGCTCTTGATTTGTTTACAGAGAAAACCGAAAATGCGAACGTAAAAATAAAACAGCAAATGACTCGTGTTATATATTTACAATATTTTTACATACATTTCAACATTTTACAGACTACAGGGAGCTCTTTTTTATTCGAGCAACGAACAGTTACATAAACTAACACGTAAATCTAAATCGTAATAACGATTTGTGTTAGTTAATCTACTGGACCCGCTCTATACGGGATGGTACACTAGAATCAATAAAATTCTCGTGTCCACAACATCATCTACGAAGAAAAATGGTGGCAGTATTTTTGAAACGATAATATTCGCAGATAGGTCAAAGCAACATTTTAGGCCGCTTCTTTATTCTTTTTTGGTCAAGGGCCGCATCGATTTTATCTGCCCTTTGCACCTGATAAAAATAAAAAGGTGTTAAACATTTTAACTATATAAATAAACTTCGTAACAACGTAGAAATGATACATGTTTACCCCTTATGGATATTTATCTATAATTTACATTCTACGTCAAGCTCAAACAGTAGTATAAGCCAGTCAGAAATATATCGTTTAGGAGAAATCTGCTTTTTAATACAATATACTAAATACAGGACCTGTATTTAGTATATATTCAACGTACCTGGTACGTAAACGATTTCTCTAAAAATGTACTAAACATGGAAAATTGATTATGTTAACAGGAAGCCATAATAAAATTAAATACGGTATCAGTTTAATATTTCTATTAGCTATTGATTAACTATCATTTGTAATAAGAATAAGCGATTGGAAGGTACTAAGTTTACGAGGCCATTGTGCGTGTAACTTCATATAAAATAATAAAAGTACAAATGTAGGGAAATCTTAACTATTTACATTATGTAAATAATATATAACTACAAAAGATTAATTCGGTAAATTCATCATTTTCAACTTACATAGAACACTACTCGGTGTAACCAGTACCTAACACCAAATAACTATCCAATATAATTTTCCATAACTAATGGCACAACAATAATTTAATACAACATTAAAGAGTTTGCAGAAAATCCAAACTAAAGATATTACGATTACTTTCAGTCTAATCTGAAGTTTGTTTCAACATGTATAACTTATGTGCTTCAAGAAGTCCATTTGATGGTGCTGTGTTTTACGAATTATTTTAAACTCTTCAAATTTGGCTACAGTGTAATAAGATAATAAATAATATTAGTTAACGGTAATTTTAAATTTAACTGAAACGGCCTATTCAATGATTCCACACATTTTTCATCGCCTATAAGAACATCAACATCGCAATACATCAATTCAATAACAAAAACAAATTATGTACAATCTAAAATAATTTATGTTTAAAATATCAACATATCAGGTTCTAAAGATTTTTGAACTCACATCACACATACATTTAGTCAAATTAATCTTATAATTTTTACTTGATTATCCTAAGTAATAGGAAAACACAAATTATCATTTTTAATAATAAATATCAAATGATATGTAAGGTTTCGTAAATTGATGAGATAAAAAATTACAAGGAATAATTAATTCTGAGATGTGGATATTTTAATTATTTATGCTAAATAACATTTAGGTAACATTCAACATAGGATCTTGGGGACTAGAATAACGTTTCACGCGAATGTGAGGCGCGGTTGACACTGGTGGAACATAGTGGTCTACTTGTAAGTTCCGTGCAATCCAGTGCACCCACCTCTGTTCCACCTCCACTGTCCGTCGAGAATTGCTCAACCTCACCATCAGTGGAATCCGCATCATCTTCTGCAAATACCGAGTCTGCTCCTACTGATACAAGATCACTTTCTACAGCAAACGATGCACCTACACTACCAACTGAAGCTAGTGGAGCTAGTCTTTCGCTTGGACAGGGCGAGAGACGTCGCTCCGGAAGGGCACACACTACTGAAGAGCCGCGCCTTTCTAAATAGGAACTCCCGGAACTAGAACAAGTTGCCGAACTCAATCGGCGATCACGTGGACCACCCGAAAATCGTCTTTCATTAAACTTTAAAGCCGATCCGGGTAAAGAGTCTCCACGATGCCCTGAAAGCCGTCTAGGAGGGGCCAGTAAGCTACCATAACCACCATACGATGAAAATCGTGAATTACGCGGCCATGGGGGCTCCTCGCTTAATGAGGGTCGGGATCGTGCACGTTCTGATAGAGCCTCTTCTATGGCTAAATTTAATTGCCTTTCTTCTTCCACCGCTTCTTCCTCGGCCACAACAGCCTCAGCCAATTCAACAAGCTTTGGATCGTTCAATGCCTTGACTGATTTACTACGGCTTTTATAAACAATTAAAAAAACCATAAGTGCGAAAAAACCGCCCAAAGTGGCGGCTATTCGGACACCCGTCATGACGTCGTATGTGGCATAAAACTCAATCCGGACTCGATCTCGCTCAGCTTGTGAACGATCTGTGGAATTTTCCTTTGTGCTGGATTCTGCATCAGCCCATCCATCTCGATTCTCCATCGCGTGGTCAAATGTTCATTTCCTGCAAAATAAACAGTCATTGATAATAGTAATATCACCTAACCACTCCACCCAAAAAGATATGACAGATAAAGTGCTTTTTCGATAACGAAATGTAAGCTCTCAACTAAAAATTAAAACAAAACAAAATACCTACAGAATGTAACAGATAATTCGACATAGTATTAAGGCTCTCAATGAACTATACTGTATTTTCAAAAATAGACATTATATTTAATGTAGTCAAGTCTGAAGACTGTAATACAATGTCATCTCTAGACGATTTCCGTTTACTAGTTACCGCACAGCTCCGACTAACCGACCAACGACGTAACTGGGACGCGGAATATCATCTTAATATGTTTATCTTTGTGTTATTGATACACAGTATGTAAAATGTTCAATGAAATGTCGTTTACATAGAAAAATTACAATCAACTTTTAGAAATTAATATTTAAAATAAAACTAATACCTGCTCACGATTATCAAGTAATAAGTTTGCCTGTACGTAATTTTTTTTAAAATAAAGTTATGCACTTAATCATACCGGAGGAAAATTTTCTACAGTTACATAATGCAAAGTTTTTTTGGTACAGACAGTTAACGACATGAAAAATTGTGAAATAAAGTAGATATTATTCAAATTACATCGCAGTTGACATTAACATTCATCTTTCGTGGAAACTTATAAATAACTAAAGAGACAGAGTCATTTACACTTCAGAGAATTCCGTGAAAATGGTTAGAAATTTTACAAATACATTACAAGGACAAATCCCAGTTTTATAGTGCACAGAGAATGGAAACGTTTTGGCTCAGTTCATCAGATTATCATTTTATTGCTACAATCATAATAATCGAACATTAATGCGCTTGTGCTATTTTTGATTTCCTAAATGTCTTCGATTTAATATTATTTGTATGATTAACTCCAAATATCGCGTCGCCATAGGTGATTATATTAATACATATAGATGATTAGCTATATCGTCATTGTAGAATGATAACTTCGTATGTCAAAAAACCATTTAGTTTTTATTCTTAGACTCTTATGTTATTTAACTGGTATAATCATGAAGTAAAGACTTATTTATGTTATTAATAAATAAGACCTTTTTACCATCTAAAACTATGGACAAAAACAATAATATTTTAACGAACATTGACGAAATGAAGCATTTTTCGTTTCCTTTAATATTTGGTTCTCTGGACATACGAGGTTATCATTCTACAGCGACGATATGTAACAATAATACATTTTCGACTTCTGAACGTTAAAGACATTTAAACGACCCTTGCTCACCGTAAATAGATTGATAGAGCGTCTGCTAAATATCTTATTGGTCATCACGTCGTCGTTAGTGACATGAAGTATTATAACAGTAACAGTATCGTGAGATATTTTAGTCTAGACAATTGAAATGTCAGTTTTTTTTAAATAACCTATGTCAAATTATTTTATTTCGCAATATACTACATTTTGTTTTATAAAAGAGTACAAATCTAAAATATAATGCTCACTTAAGTAGTGCATGATTATTGACATAGGTTGGTTTGTAAACGTAACGGATGTCTCTAACGACTTTGACGCTTAGATCTTAGAATAATCTGCAAAACCTTGAGTTTATTGCATACACAATACATTTGTTTCAATTTGTTCGAAAATATATTTGAAAGACCCGTTGTACCGACTTTGAAGCAGTGTTCTTAAAAGGCAAAACTTCAATTAGTTTAAAACGTCCTATTGTAAAACACAAGAATTTTGGCATTGTTATTCGTGCTTTAAAAAGGCAGTGGTTATTATTTGCAAGTTCCTTTAATCTTACGTTGCTTAATAAAAAAAATGTTTAATAGGCAAACGGGCAGGAGGCTCATCTGAAGTTAAGTGATACCGCCGCCCATGGACACTCCCAATGCCAGAAGGCTCGTAAATGCGTTACCGGATATTATTATATATAGAGATATGTATACACTTATGAAAGTCAAAAAAGAAGTTAAATTAATTGTAAATTAACATTTACTACTAGTTCGCAAGTCAAGGGCGTAGAACGGGCAAGAAGAACTGGCAAGAAACTTTCCACTTTTTAATTACTAAGTTTTAAGTCATACAAATTGTTTGAACTGGAGCAAATCAAGCCCAAGGATTAGGATCATTTAAATATTCGTCAAATTTATAAAAAGCTTTATTGATTAAATTTCGTTTAACGAGGGTTTTGAATTTATTTAGTGAGAATTCTCTAATTATTTCGCTTGGGAGTTAGTTGTAAAAACGAATGCAATTTCCATATAAGGAGTGGTTTATCTTCTGGAGCCTGGTTGATCGTACACTCAAATTAGTTTAGTTTCGCGTATTATACTGATGAAAGTCACCATTTGTTTTAAAATCGCAAATATTTTATATTTATATTGCCTCTAAGCAAAAACTCAAGAAATAACACAACAAGCAAGCTTATATTATCCTCGTACATATGAAGGCTGAAACGGAGAGATTTTTGAAAATCTCGACAATATTTAGTTATTTGATAAAATTATTATCCGTAGCTTCAATGAGAACTTATTGACCAATAAATAATTTTCTGAAACTATATTTATTAATTCATTTAAGAAATAACTTTTTATAGTATGTGCGGAAAAAGAACTGTTATGGGATTTGAGGTTGCAGCAGTGCAAATTTTTTTATATATTTACAACACTGTTACGCCATTATAGTTCGACAGCAATTATCTCAATATACAATATGACACAAAAGTATATAGTTTTAATGAGAACACGTTAAAAGAACAAGCTGTAAAGTTTTTAACAATGCTACATCTATTATATATATTACACATAATATATCTCACCCTTTTAATCAATATGTCATATATATATATTATATTTAGTACGGGGTAAGATTCAGATTCGAGACTTGGCGCTAAGTATGACTCCCGTATGTCAAATCCAATACGTTCCAGACATACCAGTCTCATTCTCAGCGCTAAGTCGACTCCGAATCTTACCCTAATAACTGTTTATTATATTTTTTGGGATGAGTACTTTTTATGTCTTTCAATTATATTAACAGCCCAATTTAATAAGCGAATAAAAATATTCGCTAAACAAATAATTATTAATGAGCCTTCTACGTTCTTGAATAATTTTCCCCTTTGCTAATTTTCGGCTTATCGTGTTGCGTAAAATGTTGCCTTGTGTATAATAGCTGCAGCTATAAACAACATGCACTGGGCACAAACAGTATCAACTCAACACAATGCAACTAAATATAGATTAAAGATTAAAAACACAGGACATTAAAGGCATTATAGGCAAGTTAGTAAAAAAAATTATTGAAACTCAAACGATTCAGCTTGATTTTTAATGGTTTTATTTGAGAATGTTTTAAATAGACATTCATCTTCTTCTGGCTTATACAAAAAAGATGTTTTAGCACGGTTTCCGGGAAGGTATATCGGTTTCACTACAGTAACAGCAGCATATTGAATATATCTAGCTATTAAAAGCGAAGATAAGCAGAGCAGTACAACTGATTGAAAACAAGGCATACAGGTAGATTATAAGGGGAGAAAACTATATGGCTACAATAAGCAGACTTAGCACATTTCTAAAAGATATTTACCACTTGAAAAACGTAATCCGAACACCGCAACAATTGACAAATACTTTGAGTGACGACGACTTATTAATATTGTGTTCATGTCCTTGATATTTTCAATTTTATTTTGAACGATTTTGATAGAAACCGTACTTGACACAACATTAATTTTTTTATAAGGTATACCCACAATTAAATAGACATAACTTTATTATTTTTTTCGTTGCATTTAAATTCTAATTATGGTATCATAATTTCGATTGTCACTGCACTGCACTTTCAATTAGTATTGAACGAAAATCATATTGTCAGGAAATTAAAAAATATATCACAAATATTTTCATTTTCGCGTCACGATGATCCACTAGTCCACGGACCACCTCGCCTCCATTGACAAATTGATTAATTGACACGATAGTGACATTATCAGTTGGTTAGTGTCAATTGCCTTGATTTACCTGGTTGACCACAGACATTAAGTAAAAAAAATCTTTATAATAATAAATACATATGAAAAAAATTGCAATTTTTAAACATCTTGTTAGTAACAGTTGGTTTCTTTTTAATTGTAGTAAGACTAGCAAGTAGTATATGTATAAGAGATACATCATAAGATATCTGTGGTGTAGTGTAATGTCATGGAAATTTTATCCATTTTTAAAGTCCTGATCTGTGCTAAACATTTTCTGAAATATTTACTATTTTTAATTTTTATTTCGTATTTATTTATTATTTAATGCGTATTTGGTCAACTTTTTATTAAAACCATATTTATAAAAAATTGTTAAGATATTACTAACTTATACAAATTTTTATGAATTGGCGCGGGAATCTCACCAAATTACATTTTTGGCCGAAATTTTTAAGTGGTTTGTTATACATAATTAGTACCTGTGATCAGGTCTATATATTATAAATCTCCCACAACCGTACATGCAATGTCATCCGAATGGAAGGAGTATAAACAAGATCCTAGAATTATTTGCAAATATGGTGCAAAATGTTATCAGCAAAATACAGATCATCACCAAACATACAAGCACCCACCACAACTAAAAGCTAAGAATAAAGACAATAAGAAAAACAAGCGTTTCCAACCATATAATAAGAAAAATACTGATGTTAAGGTTGTTGCTAATTGTAGTACTCTTCAAGAAGACAAATCAGATGAAATAGTTCCTGGTGCCATGACAGTAAACACTGCAACTCAGATTGACCTTATGAGTATAATAGAATTAGACAATCTAACATACTACAATAAAGAATTTGATAATAATATATACAAAGAGTGTTTTCAGGTTGAAATGCCAGATGATTTCTTTAAATTTTTTGAGTGTTTGAATGAAGAATCATCGTCAGTTGAACATTTAATGGCTAGTGTGAATTTAGAAATGATTGGACCTTTTGATTTATTATTAGGCAAATTACCCAAACTGAAAGATAAAGATTTGTACTTAGTTCATTGGAGGTTTTTCTATGATGTACCAGAATATCAGGTAAACCTATCTTTTTTTATTTCCTTTCACAATACCTTTACATTTAAGGGAAAGTATTAAAGTAATAAGGAAACCAGCTTTTCTTAAACTAAAAATCAACATTATGTGCCTGATGCGGAAGGCTTTTAGGCCTTTAAAAATAATAATCATTTAAGGGTTGCTGTTTCCATAGTCCTTAACATGCTTAGACAACAAACTGTCTATTAGCAAAGCATGTATATTTGAATATTCTATATTTTGTTTTTAGGCGATTTTAAAGAAAAAAGGGAAGAGTGAATTACATATAGGATACTATAGAGATAATCCTAAGGAAAAACCTACTTTCTTGGCTAAAAATGATAGTGCTAAAGATTATACGATAACTCCAGTCTCAGATAATATATTTGGTGCAGTTTAGTAAGTAAAAAAGACATATATTTTTAGACCTAGATATTGATGTAGACATCTTCACACTTAAGAACAGTAAAAGAAATTTATTTTAATTTCAGTTGGTTTTTGCAAAATGAGAAATCATCATCACCCTTTATGTCTATTGCTTGTCAGAAATTATCAGAGAAAGTTAAGAAATGGGCTGAAAGCAATGGCTACTCAATTGAAGAATTTGATAAAAGAACTAGAATCAAGAATATGACTTGCAAGACATTTCATGGGGCTGGCATAGTTGTGCCTTATAATAAGAAGACTCAGCTTGGTTACCGAAAGTTAGTGGAAACAGATGGTATGTTTTGTTTTTATTTTGTAGTCAGTACATTATATATAGGTACATCTAATAATCAGTTTCTTACAAACTTAAAAAAAGGGGTTATCACTTGTACCGGTAGTGGTAAGTCATATTGTTGGAATTTTATAAAGTTTTAGTGTATATTATATGTGTCTACAAATTTCTTGGAATCTTAGAAAATGTCTTGTTAAATATTTATCAAAATTGATTAAGTAGTGTTTGAAATATGTTATTCTCTAGTATGACCTTGTGTTTGGACTGCTCCTGTACATTAAAACATTCTATATATGTATATATATATATATACAAATTGCATTCCTCCTTCAGTTCTATAAAGAATTATGTTAATTACAACATACATATTTTTCTATATTTTTAAAATTATAACAAATACTACAATTTCAGCAAATATAAAGAAAATGTTTAAAAAATTAGAAGAGGCAACTGAAGATGTGGCGAAAAATAAAATTTTATCAGAAATACAACCTCTAATAACATATTCAAGTATAGCAATAGATGAATGTGATTTTGGAACAGGTTTAGAGGCAGGTGTAGCATTGTTTTGTTCAGGACTAAAGGAACTACAAAGCAGTGCCTTGAGCCTATTAACGTCATCATATTCATTGTTAAAGCGTGAGGAGTTTGTTAAAATTATTCAGGTAATTTTTTGGATAATCTGTTAATATAAAGAGTTATTTTGTGCACACATGTGATCAAATTTTTAGAAAACTCTGTGAAATACTTAATCAAAGCTTAATCTCTTTGTAAGAATAACAAACAGGTAATCTTAAATTTTGTACCTATTAGTACAAAATTGTGAGAAAGTCCTAATGCTCTATAAAATAAACTTCCTGAAAATGTGTGACCCGTCAGGTTGGCTGACCACTTTATTTTGTTCTTTAATGCAGAGGTAGCATATTCGTCTTTGAAGATAGCAAATAGTATCAAATAGGTAGAGAAATATGGCGTATAGTTTGATTGCGATATCAAATTTGGTCAGCCAACCTGACGGTTGCAAAAATGTTGTCCTATATTTTCACAAGAATCCTTTTAACAGATGAAACCATTTCTTTATAACTTGTAGCGTTCATTTAATAAAATTATAATGAAAACTAGATTTATTATTCTTACTTGGAACATATGTAATTGTAATAGGTATATTATTATTACCCACAAATTTGGCGGTTATGTAGTTTTGAATGTCAAGTATTTGCAATTCATTTTCAGGTTCACATGAAATACCGTCGCAAAGGGCCATATATGGCACTATGGGGAGACAAAAAGTGATATATTTTGTTATTTTAAAGTATGAGAATTTAATTCTCAATAAGTTGAAAAATTTGTTGTGTGTATGATAAAATTATTAAAATAAAATAAATTATAAAGAACAATGCCAATTTTATTAGACCTTTTACACATAACAAATACAAGTGTGTTTGAATTAAGTCAATTATATTGTTAAAAGAATGCTTAATGCCTAAAGGAAACCTTATTAAGGGCACCATCACTTTGATTATCACTTTTTACACTCACAATAAATTTTCTTACAAAATATATGCAGATTACAAAGAAAACCAATATAAAAACAAGACCTTTAATGAATTAAGGTCACCCGGGGCGAAAGCAACTATGGGGCTAAAGTGACTAATTGATTTTATTCACAATTTAATGATTTTTGTAAAACGTGCCATCTGTTGAAGAGTAGAGCAATTATTACTTTTTTTTATAAAGTCTAGATGGAGCTTTTAAGTCGCTAACTGTTGTACTGACAGAGCATTTTTTGACTACCGCCATTTTGGAGCAAAGTTTTGCGGCGCCGTCTGTTTAGTTTTGTGCCATAAAAAATATTTCACGTTATTTCCAGCCAAATTGAAGGTTCATCCTAATATAAAGATAAAACGTAAGTGCTTTTGGTATATTTGGTTAAAGGCTAAGTCTTTTAATTAACATTTCATTGACATAGTTACATTAACCTCAAATTTTTGTGCAGATGGGTAATTGCAACTATTTTTGCAGTTGCAATAGCCCCATTGTATTTGTATGAAAAAATCAAATCACTAGTGAAGTTCCGTGTCGATATTTCAACAAGTGAAGTTCACTATCTATTTGCATAAAATATTTACCTTGGTATCTGTGACGTATTTTTTTAAACTTATAAATTGTTTTTGTTAATAATTTAATTGAATTTATTTACATAGAAAACTTAATAATACGTGTTATTGAAAGGCAGATTAGGCGTGCACAAAATACATTCAAACTATAAAACTATGAAAGCCTTTACATAAAGTTACGATTTTGTTAATCTGCAGAGACAGAACGATACTTACGCATCTGCCCAGTGAATCTCTCAATTCAGAAATTGGCAGTAAGAATTACTGGACTGATCAATATTATCCTAGGTTTAATGATTACTCACATAATGTGGCATTATTAAATGCCAATATTATTAAGTCAGCTAGACATTAAGCAAAAATGTTGATGTTAATTCCCAAAAAATAACTTTAGCAAGACTGCGTTTTTGTACTTACTTTCATGTTATATATTATACTTACTGTCCTTAGATGTTTATTTGATTATAAAAAATGTTAAAACCTTTTACTATGAAGATTTATTTTTTAATGAATCGCATTTTAATTCTTTACCTTAAATCAGACTAATAATTTTTCGGTCCTTTCATCGAATTTTTTTTTCACGAAGATTTATCGATAAATTTAGTAGTACGTATCTGTCCAACACTAGCAAGTATGGGAGGCAGTCGCATTCGCCCCATAAAAAGTTTAAATTAATTTTTCTGGAAACTGAGCCTTATTCCCAGCACCTAGATACCAATTTCAGATACCTGTAGTGTGAAACTATATATACCCTTATTCCAAACGTATAGATTACGATTACAACAAGGTCATTTAACTGATAGTTGCATTAGCCTCAAGGTGGGGTAAATGTAACTTTTAGTGCTCTTATTCAACAAGAATGTAAATTATTCAATAACTTAAGCCTATTTTTCACGTACTTTATGTCGGAACTATTCAATGAAAGGCATGGAATAAAGTAAGTTCATTTAAACAACCATCATAATTAGGTAGCTAATGGTAGAGGACGACAAAGTACCAATTTATAAATTTTTAGTTGCTTTCGCCCCGGGTGACCTTACTTTGAAAGGATTTTCAAACAATTATTGAAAGATTTTAATTATATACAGTCATTCAACAAATCTTTAAAGGTCTATACTAAACGGAAAATAACAAACCAGTCTTACATTCGAAATATAATCAGTCATAGAAAAATAGTTCTGGATTTAGAAGTGTAAAAAGTTATTCCTTAGGTTTGTCAGCGCTACTGAGGTGAAGAAACAGTGTTATTGGACAATGATCACTTCCATATACTTTGTCCCTGATCACGCTGTCGCAAAGGGCTGAGGCCAGCCTTTCTGACATTATGAAGTAGTCCAAACGCCTGAAAAAGAAATAATTTGTGTATGCCTAGAACCTTGTTTATTTCCTAGTTACTCATAATCAGATGACAAGACTTGTAAAATAACATCAATAAAAACAAATGTTGACTGGTCAAATCAGATTTACAAAAATGGCACAGAGCAAACAAGGTTACAAGATAATTTCTTAATTATTTTGTTTAGTTTTGTTATCTTTGTAAGGTCAATAACCTCCCAGTCGAGAATGTGTGCCGAAATATTTATGAATCTGTTTCATAGAAGTTTTTAAAGCATACATACACTACTGAATATGAAAACCAGAACCTCCAGGTAATGAAAGTTCTATAACTTTCAAAACATTCTTCACTCTTATTGATCACGTTATATTTAGAAAGTTCTGACTCACAACACGTGTGTTAATTTAGGCTAACTTGCAAGCGGCTCGTTGGTCTAGGGGTATGATTTTCGCTTAGGGTGCGAGAGGTCCCGGGTTCAAATCCCGGACGAGCCCGCAAATTTTTTTTTAACTTGATTAACCATCATTGTGATTGATAGATCACCTACTACATAAAATATATTTGTTTAATGTACGCAAATGATTGTAAGTTTTGAGCTACTTTATTAGTAAAAAACATATTACATTGTTCATATTCCAGTGAGAGTCGTAATTGAGGTTACTGTTATTGTTTTTCAAAACGTATGACGGGACAGATACGTTTTCGATTATTGAGGATATCCTCAGATATACAATATGTATATATATATAGGCAAAAATTTGCCACAATATTAGTTTATCAGAAATAAATAGGTATCGTTTGATGCTTACCATCCAACATTCTTGGCCCGACTACTAAACATGTAACTCCAGAAAGTGTATGAACTCGCTTTATCCGGGTATAGATGGCGGTAGGTGTCAACAAAACCATCCGACAGAAGCTCAGTCATACCCGCGCGTTCTTCGTCCGTGAAACCCGCGTTTCTTTTGTTATTCTTGGGGTTCGTCAGATCTGAGATTTTAACACATTATTCGTAAAATCCTCTTTTGTAAAATGTGATAGAGTTGTCTAAACGCTCTTTTTTGTGGAACAGACAGTTTCAAAATATAGAAATTTTTATGAATAATGTTCTTAAAAAATTTCTCATCAACTAAAGTTATAAAACGAAACTGAGTATGTATCTATATGTGCATTTAAATAAATCCAGCGGTTAAGGCAAAATGCGTTAAAACAAGCATATACGCAGACTAGTTATATTAATTTAAAATAAGTATAAAGGGGCCGTAGTAAGTATTACGTAAGCAGATTTACTGCAATTTATCCCCCCCTCTCCTCTTGTCAGCAAAAGTAAGCAAAGCTCTCAAAAATAATAGTACATAAACGTATCAATTTTTTGTAGGAACCCTCTAAAATTCATTACGTATTCAAGCATAGACAATGTGTAAAAAGTAAATAATTACTGTTGACGTAATCACCAAATGAGATAATCAAAGACACCCCCTCCCCCTATAGTGCTTACGTAATACTTAAACGGCCCCTTAATGTGTAAACTGTACTTTCATAGTATTATTAATAAAATTTCACCCATTAATAAATAATACAAAATTTCCAGACAGCAACAGCAAAAAATATACATTGATAGCAAATACACATGTAGTTTGAAATCATATGAATAGCTAAAGCTGTCTACACACCGAAGCCGCCGGCCCGCCGGCACGAACCCGGCGGGCAAGGCCGGCGGCCTTAGTTTTAACGATGTGGCCGGCGCGCCGGCTTGCGCCCGCGCGATCTACCCCGCGGCACGCCCCTCTCCGCTATTCACCACCGGTTGCCCACCGGCTTTTAAGAAATAGTGATGTGTCAGTGTTTTTATCGACTGTACGTTATGGAATCCGTTAATGAAGTTGAGAGAAAAATAAAAAAATTTAACAAGTCACTAGCAAGCACTTGGCAATCACTAATTGTGAACACTGCATGCCGCGACTGTATGTCGTGCCGCCGGGAAAATTGTCAGGCTCGCAACTTCTAAATCCGCCGGGTTCGTGCCGGCGCGGCGGGCCGGCGGCTGCGGTGTGTAGACAGCTTCAGGCTCATAGGTTATCCAAGGTCGTCAAAGTAGAATTAATTTCAGCATTATTTAAATTATACCTATTTGAAAACTTACGTTCACTTGAGCCATATTCAAAGATAAGCTTGAAATAATTTAAGTATGTTTAATATAATTTATACTTGTGTTTTTAAGAAAATATGTTTATAAAAGGAAACTATAAAAAAACGACAAAGCCGCTGGCCCGTCGCTAATTAAATGTTTAAGTTGGTTTACAGTAATTAGGCGCCTCCTAGACTTGTTAAATATAGGTTTAAAAAAAAATTACCTATTTCCTTGTGCGACACATTCATATCCCCGCATATAATAACTGGTTTCTTTTCATCTAATGATTTTACATGTTTCCTAAACGCCTCATTCCACTTTAGTCTTTTATCTAATGTTACGAGTTTCCGTCCGGCGTTCGGTACATAAGTGCAAATTAAATAGAATTGTTCGTATTCAGCCGTTATTATTCGGCCTTCGTCATCGAATTCCTCATTCTCAAGGCCATATTGTACGTTCATCGCTAGCTTTGTTGTGTAAATACCTACGCCAGCGTAGCCCTCTTTATCACTGCATAACCAGTAGGCGTGATAGCCCGGCACATTTGCCACTTCTTCTGGAAGCTTGTCACGAGAACATTTAATTTCTTGCAGACAAAGAATATCTGGCTTTTCGTAGTTAATATATTCAAGGCCGCCTTTGCCTAGCCAAGCCCGGATCCCGTCCACATTCCAACAGGATATTTTGAAATTCCATTCTTTACCCAGACTATTTTTTGATGAGCTAGAAAAATCTATATCCTCAAACTGTGTTGACGATTTGTTGACTTTCTTTTTAGTGTCTCCGCCTGGAAAAGAAATCTTTCTTTATTTTTAGAGTGAATTATTTACATGCATCAGTTGTTAGTTCCACATGACTCTTAAATAGATTTATTGTTGGGTTTTTTTCATGTTAAAGTTGGTTCTTAACAAATACATATTTGCAGTTAACACTTATATAAATACTAGTAGATAAGAGTAGATTATTTGTATACAATTTTTAAGACCACTTAAAACTATGATACATTAATGTGTAATAGTATTGTAACGTTTTTATGAATGTCCTTACCTGTAACTTTTTTCTTTCATCCACAAAGTAAATTGTTATAAGAAGCTATACAAAATTATTGCTGTTTTAATAGACACTATAATATTTGAATAGCCTCATTTAATTTTTAGCACTTAGTTTGAACCTACCTCAAAAATAAATAATTTAAGCAATGTTAAACAATATAATCAGATACTAGAAATGTATAATAAATGTGATACTTCATAATAATGGCAATTACTTTTTCAAGTCTTACTTATTATCTCTAAGACAGACTTTAAATAATCAAGGTTATGTTTCAAGATTAACATATTAAAAACATGCAACATGATGACTGATATAACTAGCATAACTTAATAATTACCCATCCCCAAAATCAGCCAATTATACCCAAAAACCCAATAATGAAGCCGAAGGTATTAAAATAAATAAAATAATAATTTTGGAAAAATGTTTATTTAAAAAATAAATGAATCCACTTAATCATCATAATACAAAACAAAATTAATGTCAGTTATATGATACAACAGTGTAAGTCTACAATCCTTTGCCGATGGAAAGTCTATGACATCCCACACACAACTGAATCAAATATTAACAGCTTAATAATAATCCTAATTAGTTTAAAAACATTGTGCAAATCAGCAATTACTAAATTATAAAGAAAGGAGAACCCTAAATGATAACATATTTAAATAAAGCTAATTACCCTTGTCTTCAGGCGTCTTGCGTTTGCGTTTAGTATTGGGTTCTCCTGTGTCAGGAGATTCCTCCTCTACTTCGGTCTTTTCTACGACTTTCTTTTGTCCACGTTTGGATTTTGCTGGCTTTGTATCATCTACTTCCATGTCCTGATCTTCTTTTGAGTCTCCTAAAATAGTAATAAATGTGTAAAAATCTATTTCATTTTTTTAAATAATATCTATGTGAAGTATATTTGTCAAGTATTTTATGAAATTATTTTGACATAAATACTATTTAATTACTATTTCATTCTTGGCTTGTTTTGATTAAAAAATTTAGATCTTTACTACATCCCTTTTTAAATGCTAATTGAAAAAATCTGTTCCTAAATTAGGAAAATATCATAAGAAATTTTGTAATATTATCTATATATTATGTACTGCTTATGCATACAAACCTTTTTCACTTTCTGACTCCTTTTCTTCTTTTAAATCATTGTTTTCTTCTTTGGGTTTACCTTTTCCTTTTCTCCCTTTTTTTGGCTCAGCATTGGCTTTAGCTTCACTGTCTTTGTCATTACTGTTGTCTGCGTCAGGTTCAGCAGTCTCTTCGCTGCTTTCATTTTCTTCAGTCTCCTTGTCTGCAGCTTTTTCTGTCTCTTTAGCCACAAGAAGTTTGGCAGCCTTTTCAGCATCCTTTGCTGCTATTTTTGCAGCCTTTTCAGCTTCTTTTGCAGCTAGCTTTGATGCCTTCTCGGCTTCCTTTGCAGCAGCTTTAGCCGCTTTTTCTGCATCTTTGGCAGCCTTTTCTGCATCTTTCACAGCAGCTTTTGCAGCCTTTTCTTCGTCCTTAGCTGCTTTAGCTGCATCTTTGTCATTCTTTGATGGTGCTTTTTTACGACCTTTGGCTGGTTGTTCTACTGATTCAGATTCAACTTCATCAGATTCTGGTTTGGGTTCAGCTCTTCGGCCCCTACCCCTTCCTCTTGGTTTATCCTCCTCATCTTTGTCTTCTGGTTCAACACTTCCTTGTTTTGCTTTTGGTTTGGAAGTTTCAATAGGTTTGGTAACAGTTTCTTTCTTAGTTGCCTTTTTTCTACCCTTGGCAGGAGCAGTTATTTCATCTTCAGAATGACCATTAGCATCCCCATTACCATCATTTTCTTCAGCTGGAGTTCCAGACTCTTTAGCTGATTTGTCATCAATTTTATCAGGTTTGTCTTCTATACTGGCTGCATTTTTTTTACCCCTTCCTTTTTTTGCTGGTGGTTCAGATATATCATCACCTCCATTCAATTCTTCATCATAGCTTTCAATTTTTTTTCCACGTCTATTAGTCTTTTTTTCTACTACTTCCGTTTTTTCATCTTCTTGAGGTTCATTTTTACCTTTTCCTCTTCTGTTTTTTGGTGCATCACTTACAGAAGCTTTGACCTCTGCTACTTTCTGTAATATACAAAAAAAAATTATTAGCGACATATTATGTTTTATTCTATATGATTTTAAATAGATAACGATTTCACATTTTAAACGACGACGCAAATGCTTACATACACGTAAACACAAATGCTACATATAAATTCACACTGATTTCACCTTTCTCTAGTAAGGAATAACGTATTAAGTATTTATGCTGTGTATAAACGAGAAGAATTTAAGCGCCAAACAGTTATTTAACGAACCGTTGTGACCTAACACGCGGGCTTTTTGCAGAGGGGCATATATGCTCAATCTGTATTTTAAACATTTGTGTTGAAACCTAAAAACAACTACTTAGCCCACTAAAATAGATTTTCACCAAATTCGGGCACTTTTTATATGCTTTTGAATAGATACTTGTCGTTAACAAAGCAAAACCAGTTCATGGCAGCAAACAAACAACGTGCTATACTATAAATTTAAAACTTAAAATACTCAATAAATACTTAAACATACCTTTGCTTTTGCTGTTCGTGGAGCCATAGTAGCTAAATATAATCAAAATAATCCCTAATCACACAAATTTCAATAAATATAGCACCCGGCGATCCCGGCTAATGCGTCGAGCAAGGCGGAAACGAGCTAAGTTTTAGATAATATTCAAATTGACGTTGACAACAACCACGGTTGCTGGCGCCAATTTTATAATATAAAAGACACATTTATTTATAGATTACAGAATACAGATAACGATAACTTCACATGCACAACGTTCGTGACGTCTGAGCTCGGACATATCGCTGCATCCAACCAAGCTGTGAAACCAAACAAGCAACTCAAGTCCAACGGCCAAAAGTCAAGCAAGTTATCGATATTCGATGAATTAATATGCCTAATTCATGGATTCAATAATATTATATTCCACCACTTCAATATTTTGCTTTAGCAAGGCTTATCGAATTGTTATTGTCTGTGGGAACAGGGGTGCGACAGACTCACAGACATCAGATGATAGGCGACAGATCACAGAGTACAGGTAACAGGAGACTACAGAGTACAGACTAGGGATGTGACATTCTGCATAAAAAAATCGATTTTTTATTGATCGATTTTTTTTTAGCATGAATAATCGATTAATAAATAATCGATTTTTCTTAAAAAAATAATCGATTTTTTTCCTAATTTTTGAATTAATTTCAAAATAAACACCCTAAATATTTTATTTTTCATGGTTTTTTTAATTAAATATAAACACAAATTGAGAAATTATAAACACAAATTAACGTTTAAGAATAATCAATATCGAAATTAACTTATTCTCGTTTTGATAGATTTTGATAAATGCTGAGTGTATTCCTTTTCAGTAGCACATTGCAGTATTTTTGTTGCCTTTTTGATTGTATGTTGTCTTGTTCTGCTGAATAAATTTATTTTACTTTTAAATTATAGTGTTCCATTCAAACTTGAGTTTTTGTAAAATTAACTGCTTTTATCATCCTTTTGATGTTTTACAAAAAAACATCAATGTATCGAGTATATCAATACATCTTCAAAGAACATCATTGTGTATCGAATATCCCTAATAGTTCGAGGTCCGGGTTATAAAAGACCAGACATAATATCGGGAGGTGGCAGATAAAAAATCGATTATGATTGATTTGCAATTATAAAAATAATCGATTATTTTAAATATAAAAATCGCGTAAAAAATCGATTTTTACTTTTAAAAAAATCGATTATTTTTTCACATCCCTAGTACAGACATTTATTAAAAAAAACGATGTGTTGATACACGTCGTCCACAAAAAATTAAAATTCCACTTAAAATTTGAATAAAAGACCACTACTTTCGAAGTATTCTTCTAATCGAAAATGGTAAGAAATTTTATAGCAATTGGTTCCGTAATCCGTATACTTCGAGAGTTTATTACATAAAGAAATTTATTTTTAGGAGGTTAAGCGGTTTTTTCAAGTTTGTGAATTTTAACAAAAGATTAAACTCAATTCCCTCACAATCAAAGTTGTACTTCCTTAAATACATTTTTGCTCAAGACATATTCGTGATTATAAAATCATTTAAACAATGAGTATTTACTATAAGGTCTCATCAACCATATGGATCACAGAAATATAATTTTTTATGATAATATTTTCAGACGACCCTCGATAGGAAGGGCACTTTCAAGGTTGAATATTTACAAGAAATAGAAAAGAAAATTCAAAAGCGTTGGGAGGATGAGAAAATTTTTGATACGGAGGTTCCTCAAGATGAAAAGCAAGAAAAATTCCTATGTACATTTCCTTATCCTTATATGAATGGACGTTTACATCTTGGTCACACATTTTCACTTTCAAAGTGTGAGGTAGGATATATGATTTTAGAAATACTGAGTTATTTACAAAAAAATTACATTTTTGCTGTCAATTATTGAGGATTTTTATAATATTTTCTCCCATTTGCATTAGTTTGCAGCAAGGTATTATCGTCTTAAAGGCAAAGCAGTATTATTCCCATTTGGATTTCATTGCACTGGTATGCCAATAAAAGCTTGTGCAGATAAACTAAAAAGAGAAATGAGCGTCTATGGTTGTCCCCCACAATTTCCTGATGATGAAGATGATGCACCTGTAGTTGAGGAGGATGCAGTGCCTAAAGACAAAAGCAAAGGAAAGAAAAGTAAAGCAGTGGCAAAGGCAGGGTCAGCCAAATATCAATGGCAGATCATGCAAAGCCTTGGCATTCCTGACGAAGAGATCAAGCAGTTTGCCAATGAACAATACTGGCTGGAATATTTTCCACCAAGGGCAGTTGCCGACTTGAAAAGAATGGGTCTTCATGTAAGTTTTCTTGGAATGTTGTATGATCTTAATAAATGTGGGATACAATGGAGAGATCTTTATGTATTATATGCTAATATTTGTACCCTTTGTTATCAGTAAATAGCTGAAACAAATTATTAATTATGATTTTCTGTGAAGGATGTAAATCCTATATAAGAATGTGTTTGTGTTTTTAAAACTGCATGATTGCTTGCAAAGCAAGTTCTTAAATCCTATAAGCCTATCTAAAGTGAATGTCAAAGTTTTTTTTGTTAATAGGTTGACTGGAGGAGAAAGTTTATTACAACTGATGTAAATCCATTCTATGACTCATTTGTTAGATGGCAGTTCTATCACCTTAAAAATAGAAACAAAATCATGTTTGGTAAACGGTATACAATTTACTCACCACTGGACAAACAACCCTGTATGGACCATGACAGGAGCTCAGGAGAAGGTGCAGGGCCTCAAGAGTATACTCTTATTATGATGGAAGTCTTAGAACCATTACCAGAGGTTTTAAAGTAAGTTACCTTATCTTGATACATATGCTGATGGTTCTATGGTTTATTATTATAGATTTTTCTGATTGCAACTTTGTCATTATGAAATTAATATATTTAGTATATTCTTTGATTTCTTTTCCCCTTGAAAACATCTTATCAATTTGTATACAAACATTGACGTCTAGATGATTGATTGACAGATTATTGGGGAGCACTTAACATAAATACTAATATTTTTATTAATTATTGGTTTTGGTTTTAGCAATCCTCTTAAATACTTGTTAATGTAGCAATTTAACGAGCACACCAGTTGTTACTTTGTTTAATAAATTGGTGTCCTCACAGTACTTGGATTATGCTGGAACTAAATTTCAAAGAATTTAATTTTAAATTTAGTTAATACAGTCAAAATCTGTTATAACGACATCGAAAGGACTACTCATATTTGGTCATAAAAACCGATAGTAGTAACAACCAATGATGTTGTTATTAAGTACCTACTACAATAGAATTCAGCCGGTACCTTTGATTTAGTCAATATAACCAGTATGTTGTTCTAAACAATGGTCGTTGTAAACGGTTTTAAATGTATTATTATTTTAAGCAAAAGACTTATATTTTGAACACAAGTTATTATTATTTTGTTTGTCTTATAATAAAGATTGAGATTTAAAAAATAAAGATTTTTTAGGGGTTTTAAGGGAAAGAAAACTAAATTTGTTACTGCCACCTTAAGACCTGAAACAATGTATGGTCAAACTAATTGTTGGATCCATCCAGATCACAAGTACATTGCTTTTGAGACTGTCAAGAATGGTATTTTTATTTGCACACAAAGGGCTGCAAGAAATATGTCATACCAAGGTTTTACAAAAGATGATGGTGTTGTAAATGTTCTTAAAGAAATAGCAGGGAAGGATCTATTAGGTGTGGCCCTAAAAGCACCTTTTACGAGCTATTCAAAGATCTATTCTCTACCAATGTTAACTATAAAGGCTGATAAGGGAACTGGAATTGTATCAAGTGTACCATCCGACTCCCCAGATGACTATGCTGCCCTAGTTGACTTACAGAAAAAAGCAGCATTCCGGGAAAAATACAATATACAAGATGATATGGTTCTTCCATTTAAACCTGTGCCAGTTTTGGAAATTCCTGAATATGGCAACATGTCCGCTGTTTATGTTTATGATCAGCTCAAGATTCAAAGTCAAAATGATAGAGAAAAGCTGAATCTGGCAAAGGACATGGTTTACTTAAAAGGATTTTACGATGGTGTACTACTTGTTGGTGAATTTAAGGGAAAAAAGATACAGGATGTTAAGAAGAATATTCAGAATCAACTGGTGAAAGAAGGAGGTGCTGTGATCTATTACGAGCCGGAAAAGACAATTATTTCAAGGTCAGGTGATGAATGTGTGGTCGCCTTATGTGATCAATGGTATCTTGATTATGGTGATCAAGAGTGGAAGGCTCAGGCTGAGAAAGCATTAGCCGCTATGAATACATTCCATGATGAAGTTCGAAAGAACCTATCTGGGACTATTAAGTGGCTTCATGAATATGCATGCTCTAGAACTTATGGACTCGGTGAGTACCTTATATTTATTTCATAAAAACACCGGTTCTTGGGTCTATGACAACAATTTTCTGACAAATATAACATATATAATTATATATATATATGTATAAAAAAAAGGGTGCGCGTACGTGTATGTACGCGCGTAAGAAGTTATTTATTTATTTATTTATTTATTAAGGAACACCAACAGATTACATGTATATATTTTCTAATTAACAATATTGGGTTTTATTCTAGCATGCAATCTAATAATAGGTGTACACAACATTGACTCTAATAAATGATAGCGGACAGAGTTTACTTAAGTATTTGTATCTTTAAACATAGATAAATTGAAAGTTAAGTTATACTTCTTTGGCATTATTAAAAATAGTTTTTGATTGCATGCAAATAATTAATTACAATTAAATAATCAAAGACTGGAAAAGGAGTCATTATATAAAAATAGTTTTTGATTGCATGCAAATAATTAATTACAATTAAATAATCAAAGACTGGAAAAGGAGTCATTATAGTCAATAAAGTTCAGTTTACATTAAAAAAATTAAATAAATAAATATTTAATTAAATATTAATATTAATTAGTATTGATTTAAATATTCACTTTAAATCACTTCTGATTATAATTCAGACGC